CCTCTCTCACCATTGCACTGCTGCCCTCAGTGGTAGTTGCTGATTGGGCCGAGACCCGGGACCTGACCAAGCTCTCCGGTTGTGGTCTTCAATGCAGCAGTCTTCTTCCCGAATTCGCGAACGATGCATTCGACGACATCTGCAACAAGCTTGTTGAGGATGGGTATGTAATCCCCGACTATTCCACGCGCTCATCTAGGGTGTTCGGACAGGTCGCTGTTTGACACCGAATAAGCTAACGTACTCTATAGCTGTGCGAAGGCCTTCATCACCGGAAAGGGTGGTGTTGGATCGGCTGGATTCGGCAAGTCAGACGATGTCAGTTGCGATGATGCCAAGCCCGCCGGCCAACTGACTTGCACCAATGCCTTCCGTGATGTCTACGGCTCCCTTACTGGCTTCGGCAAGCCCGGTGGTACCCAATCTCAGCAGAAGTACATCTACAACGCCGAGGGAACTTACATCGGCGCCCTCAACTTTGTCGGAAGCTGTATCCCCCAGGGTCTTAAGGCCGTTTGTTAAAAATCTGGTTTACTATTTGAGCAATATGAGGAAGTTGTGTTGTGCATTATCTTAGATGTCTCCTGTTTGGGGGATGAAAGAGCATAGTCTTACTTTTATAGGTAGCAGAGGCCCCGTGAACAAGCATGAGATGCACATCCTAATCTATCAATCTAGATTCGAGCAAGAATGTAATTTAGCGTAATTTGATAAAGTATGAGGGATGAATATTATAGATACAAAAGTGGTAAAGGAGGGCCTTGGAGTCGAGATTGAATTCTTCCTTAATTGTCGCCTAACGGGACACATATCTTGTTTTGATCACTATAATAGTCCTCATAGAAACCCAGCCACATGAACCTATCCGCACACTTTGGCCTATCATTTCTCTCCGCTTCATTCTCGTCACAAGCCGGCTGCTCGGCTTTGAACTGCGCATCTGAAGGGTGCAACCATGGTTTTGGCAGTGGCCAGTCACTAAAATGCACCAGATACGCCCGCGAAACCTCTGCCATAGCATTCCATTCCTCGTCCTTGTCTTCTGACATATACCGAGAATGGTCCTTACTGCGGAACTCGCCTGTCAATAATGCGATTCGACGATGCGGCAGAATCATTGCCGAGTCCCAAAACAGATGATTCAAGACTTCCATGTCGAAGGCACCCGATGATGTTGCCTCATCGATAATAAGGCGGTAATTGGCCTCATTTGGTTCAATTAGCATTACATGCGATCCGAGCATTTGGTCCTTAATGCTGGAGTCCTTGTCTCCTAGCCAATAGGCGCGAGGAACTGCCACGGGGGCCAAAGGCGCAAGGAAGTAGAAGTCCATGTTGTTCAATACCATAGAATCGGAGTCGAAGATCAATACGCGGGTGTACTCAGTTAGAGCGAAGGCGTGGAACTTGGTCAGGCTTTTGTGCCATGTTGGATCACCATTTGATGTCGACAATACGTCGACTGCTCGCAGTTGAACGCGGGGGTACTGTTTCCGAATGTTCGCCAGCGCAACTTGCTCACGGCTTTTGCCCGGCTATATGACTTTCGGTTAGATCCGAGGTAAATGAGCCTTTCCATATGCAGGTAACAGTACCTCTTCCCAGTCTTTTGGGTGGATCAAAACCTGATCGTATTGAGTTGCGAAACGGTCAAGCCGGACAAAGTTCATCATCTGAAGATCTCAGCTGGCGAGACTACATATTCCGCTCGTGTGATGCTTACCGCGTTACATAAGTAGTCGAAATCGGTCGCATATTGGACATACGCAAATCGAGGTTCCATTTGTTCAGTTGTCCAGTGAGAATTCAGGCCCCCAAATGCCTTTCCTGAGGAGTTGCCCCCGGTAGCGGTTGGAATTATCACTGGTGTTGTAGGGTACTGGCTGACCAGCACCTTGAAACATAGCAGTAGCACACATAATGCTACTGCACATGTTGCAATAATTGTCCGCTTGGCCGAAAGAAGCATTGCGGGTGATCAATTTGACGAGTGTGATCAAGCAACTCGATATGAATTGAATCAGCAAAGGCACAACCTCAAAAGCCTCATACGAGTATTTCCATGCTTGCTGAAACGGCCGCGCATCTGTCTCACATTTACCATGCTATTAGTATGACTTCGCCACAGGCCAAGCTGAAGCCAAGACCCTTAAAGCGGGGCGAGAACCAATGGCGATGTCCACTTTGCACCAAATTGGGCGACTAGACCGATCTTGGCACGGGTATGAGAGTTTTTTATACCCTCTCACTTGCAAGTAGCCGATTCTCAGACTATTGCAACTCCTTTCTCCGCGGCATGCTTGATAATGGCTCGATTTACATTGGGCGCTAGGCGGACTGACCCGAACACCGCGCCCGCCGCAAGCATGACGCCGCAAAAATGCTGGAAAAGGTCAGCACCGACCGAGGGATAAATGTAGAGACCGACCTGGGGGTTGATACTGCGTTGCATCAGGAGGGGCATCATTGAAGCCAGCAAGAAACCGAGCACTTGGGCGCTGTTTTTCGTCACAGTGCTGGTTAGTGCCACTGACCAGGCAACGAGGAAGCCACCAGTTGCCTGCAGTAGAATGAAACCCCACACCAGAGGGCTGTAGCCATGGAAGAAATTGGCAATCCCTATTTTCGCTCCCCAAATATAGACGAGACTCGCAAAGAGAACGCTGTACGCAGCAAGATGAGCATTTCGAGACAAGAACGCATTGGGGGTCTGCAGCATTCTCTCTGTGCGTATCCCAGCCAATGCAACACATATTCCCGACAGTAGCATATAGGCTACTCCAAGGATCTGTCTCGGTGGCTCCATGGATGTCGGTGTAGAGACTTGTGGCGGATTGACAGAGGCTGTCTGGACGAGAACTAACCCCACGCCGATCATGAAAAAGCAAACCCACTGCCCACGAGTAAACTTCTGTTGCAGGAACATTACCCCAAAAACGGGGGTAATGATGAGCTTGATTTGCGACAGCATGAGGTACGGCAGGAAATCGAGGTTGTAAGCGCCTAAGCTTTGTAGAAAGGTTGCAAGCGTGTACAAGCCTGCTGGAATTGCTGCATCATGATGGTTGGATGTAAGAGTACCCAAGTCTTGTGGCTGTGAGCGGGAGTTTGAGAAAGGTGAAATGGGCAACACTTTGGCTTCTCTTACAACCAAAAGTGCAGACACCGCGAGTTTGATGAGCTCAGATAGAATGATGGCTGTCAAAGCATCATGCCTCCCGTGATTCCCATGTAGGGACTGAACGCGGTGTTGAATCTATTTAAATCAGCCACGGCAGTTCAGTAGATGGGCGGATCAGACCTACTAGAATTGATGTCGAGTTCTGAATAACTAGCTGCTTCTGTGAGATTCTTGATGTGTTGTATGGGTTGTAAAAGATCCTACCAGAAATAATGCAGCGGCTGCAAGCCGCTTGGTATGACTGATCCTATGAATATGTCAGCTGTCGCACATATTCATGGATCGATAGATAGGATAACTCACATCGCAAAGAGATTTACAAATGAGTGCCCGTAGGACTTGAGAAAGTGAGGTATTCGATTAGTGTGGACGGAGGCAAGCAGAAAGAAAAAAAAAAAAAGCCTCAAAGCGAGTGGAAAAGTGGTAGGTTGACCTCGGTCAAAGAAAGCCCCCAGACTGAGTGATGTCAAAGACGAAATGCTGCGAATTTGCGCACGAGCAGTACCACATCCGTCAGGAAGATAGGTTTTTATCAATTTAGTTCAACCTCCCTGGCACATATCTACCGTCAATGTTGTCTCAGAAAAAAAAAAAAAAAGAGTAGACAACGATCTCCTCTCGCCGTATGGAACAATATTGCTTGTAAGAATGATTATCTACTTGTACCAGTGTTTTTATTGGAAAAGACATAGGAAAAAGCACAAGTAACAAATTGGATGAAAGCCTGCATTCTAATTTCTGATATCAATCGATTAAGCGGAATGGCACGCAGCAGCCATGAGGACATAAACGTGGGCTGAAAAACGTAGGATCAATACGCCTAATTCATCCATGGTTCCGTCCACATGGGCACTCCTCGACCCAGGGACAGGAATTATGACTCAGCAACTAAAAATAGACCACGTGATGCAAGTGGATCCCAATCTGAGCCCCACATCGAACACAACTGTACATACTCCCGAGGTCTGTATACTATGTACTGGTGAACATCACCACTGGGCGCTCACTATCGTACTCCGTATTTCGTCATTATTTGTTGAATCTGCATTATTGAGGCCCTGGGAATGCCCGGGGAGATCAGGGCTTGAGCCGCCTCTTCGCCCCACTTATCTTCTTCCCTTCCCTTTAGTATCTTACGCCCGCTGTATCAGAGGCGCTTTGTGTGATTGACTCTGTGTCCTTTGATATGCCAATGTACCTAATATAAAGAATTCTCACAGATCTGCAACCACTGCCCAGTGAATTAAGCATAAGATGACTTCCTTGGGTGATCATAGAATCGATCTACTCCCACAGCTTTATTCCGCAAGGCATCGGCGCATCTGCAACATCGAGGCTAAACATGGCACAGATAATCTCGTCTTTCTGACATAATCAGTCGCGTGGTCTAATGGTTATGATTTCTCGTTCACATTTGCCTGTGAACAGCTTGGTCTTCCGAGAAGGTTCCCGGTTCGATCCCGGGCGCGACTACTTTTTTTGCTCATCTACTGTGCTAGTGTTTCTTTGGTTATGGCTCATTTTTTAATGTTTATGATATTGGTCATGATCTCGTGTTGTTATAAGGAACATTTGTCGATCTGACCATCCCTTTGTTCTGCAATCAAAGGCCAATCGTGGCCCATTGCTAACATCTATAGATGATACATGTACGGAATGTCCAAGTTACTTCTAAGTTGGGCAGCTATATTTAAATGGTAAAAGCTCAAGTGATAAATAATTTAAAATTTCATTGACAAGCGTGAGCATAATATGTAGCAGTTCATACAAACAAAAGGAATAGGCAGCCTCTAGAGCTTTGGACTCGCCAAAACCAAAATCAAGGCAGCTCTTCCTGAACAGCCCTCCCCAGATCACCACAAGCTTCACTAAACAGTACACCCAAAAGAATGCTTTCACCCTCTGCGGCAGTCCAGCGACCGGCATCCTCAAGTCTCTGTTTCCAGGTAGCCTGTTCAGGTTCAGAAAGATCCTTCCAGGCCTGCAATTTTTGTTCTTCAGACTGCTCATCGTGGTGGGAAGATTGAGCAGTCTCGACAATAACACTTTGCTCTGCAGTATTACCGTCGGCACATCGCAAAATCACAGAAACAGACTGCGGCTCGGGAGTAGCGAGGTCAGCAGGTGCGGCGCCAGTACGGTGCACGCGGTCAAGAATGTCCCGCAGGGACTCGATTGCCTCATCCGGGATGGCCTGCACAACGGGGACATCGCGAGGTGCAAGTAGAGTATCAAAGTAAGTCAGTTTCTCACGCGGGGGTACGACGTATTCACGGGCAATGGTGTGGCGAATGGCGGTGGGGAGCCATTCTGTAGCCCCAAGGAACGGAGGTGTCCCGCCGCGGATTTCGGCAAAGGCGAGCATGGACAGACATATGACGAACATGGAAACGAGAAGAATGGCGATGCTGTAGACCAACTCCCACACTTCTGCTGGGCCGGGGACAGCGAGTACGTAACGCGGGGTGCGAGAGGAGGTCGGGAATGGAGAGAGTGGGAATGTGTGTACAACAATCGTGTTGCCCATGCTCACCGAAGCGAGCTTGATGTTCTGCGGACCAACTTCTGCGGTGATGGGGTGCGAGGGTGCAATGAAGGTTGAGAAAGTGAGTTTGGTCATTGAGAATGGGTGCACATCTCGGATAGTCGTATAGGAGCGGAAGTTGCTGTAGCCACGCTTGGGGCCGTATTCCAAGGTAAACAGGGGGATTGAGTTATCGCTGCCGCTGACTGCGATGACGGTTTGTTGCTGGCCTTGTGGATTTGTTCCCAGTTGGCAGATATCGAGACCCAAGCCGATCTTGAAAGTTCGGGGCAGCTTACGGCGCCTAAGAATCTGGGCCTTGCTCTGATTCGCACTAGGAAGCTGCAGGAGCACCAGTTCACTACCGCTGCGGTTCGGTGCATTTTGGAGTAGCAGGATAGTCTGCGGTGAGAGGAAACGTAGAGCGCGGAACTTGGGGCGTGCATTGCGGGCTCCGCTAGATGGCAAAGGGATTGAATAGACAGACCGGACCTCGGGAGAGGTGTTTGAGCGGGTGGAGGAAGAGACCTCGCCAACCATAACATCGGGGCCATTAGTATATGCCAACAAAAAGCGACTATCAACGCCATCACTTTTTTCTGATCCGTTCTCAAGGCTGACAAAATCCAGATCCTCGGCCTCCTCGTTGTCGCCTAGTTGAATACGGCCAATGACATCTTGATCGCTTGGAGTTTCTGTGACGCTGAACAAGACAATCTCGCCAGATGCCGCCAAGCCAGTTGTGATTGCTCCAATTCGGGTATGCTTTTCGCTGTCTTGCTGTTTTGGCCATGGAGATAGTCTTGTGACTCGTTGATATGTATCCGAAGAGCCTGGCCCGTTCTTTGTCCGGAAGAGTGATGCTTGCGACAGCGCAGTGGCCTCTCCAGGAACCTTCTCGTCGGACTTGCGCTCCTTGTTGCCCTTCGACACCTCAAATCTAAATGCGCGCAAGTGCTGGTTGTTGTTCTTCTTTTGCTGCTCGACTGAACTGTTGATTCCTGCGAATGTGACCAGCGAACCGGCCTCTTCACCTCCTACCGGCGCAGCAACCAGCGATGTCACCGAGTCCTCATCACGCGATAGCTTCAGTTCCAGGGACTCAGTAATTTCGTCTCGATTCGATGTATCAATAAGGGACTATGCAAAAGAATCAGAATCAGTATTTAAACGCGTGGCCAAGCTTTCCCGAGTTGGTGGGACATACGATCTTGTTTCCGACACCACTGCGGCCCTCGCCGCCTCCGCCGCCAACTAAGAGTTGACCATTGTCTCTGGGATCGAAGTCGGCAGCGAACAGCGGACAAGAGACTGTCAGCTTGGCAGAGTGTATGGTGGGCGCCATTGTTTGCTTGAGAAGGGAAAAGAGAACAGGTTGATGACGAAGGCGGCCCCGGATTCTTGGCGCGACAACCCGCTTACTTCGAATGTTCGCCTATACCCAGGTATCCTATGGCAACATGGGTTGCATAAAGGAAAACAAGACACGACGTACCTGTATCAAGGTATAGAAGACATCAAAGCAGATGGAGTAACCAATATGCAGGGCATGTGCATGACGATCTCGGGAGTCATGGACCTGCGGGGGCTACTTTCTCTTCACGTCTATGGCTTGCAGCACGGATGACCGCCTATTCTACTAGCGAGAATGTGCTTTCCAGTTTTTTTCTTGGGACATAGAGGATTTATTGCATACAGGATATGACCAAACATCCCAAGCATGTATGTATAATGTAAGATAAAAAAAAATGAAACTGTATTTTTGATATACTTCTAAGCACTTTACTCGACCTCCTGGGAAGTGAACTCGGGCAGGCGCTTGCGGATATCCTCCCAGGTCTCGTCGCCCTCGACAAGGGACTTGACAGCCTGCAGGATCTCGTCCTCGGAGGCACGGACCTGCTTGGTGGTATCGCGGTCGCGCAGAGTGAAGGTGTTGTCCTGAACGGACTGGAAGTCGACGGTGACACCGAAGGGTGTACCGAGCTCGTCGTTGCGGGCGTAACGCTTGCCAATACTGGCAGAGGAGTCGTCCACACGGTTGGAAACACCCAGCTTGCGCAGCTTGGCGGTCAGACGCTGGGTCATAGGCTTGAAAGAGGCGTGGTTGGAGAGGGGAACGAGCAGGACCTTGGTGGGGGCGACAGCAGGGGGGAAAGAAAGGACCTGGATTATGGTAAGTAAAGGTTGTTTCTGATATATCGCGATAGGGGAGGAAAAAAAAAAAAAAAAAAAACTTACACCACGGGTCTCATCGCCAGCGCGGGACCAGTAAGAGTGCTCGATCATGCTGTACAAGATACGGCCAATACCGAAGGAAGGCTCAATGACGTTGGGAGTGTACTCGCGGGTGTTCTCAACACGGGTGCGCTTCTCAATGTTGATGAGATCCTTCTCAATCTCAACCTTGCCAGATCCGACGCCCTCAACGTCAACCTCGATCTTACCATCCTTGGCAAGATCCAGGGACAGCTTCTCGCGCAGCTCCTGGGAAAGCGCCTCAACGGCAGCCTCGACAGTCTTGGCATCCTTCTTGAAGCGGGGACCGAACTTCTTCTTCTCGATGTCAATCTGGTACTCCTCAACGCGAAGAGGCTCAGCGCGGGGCTGGCGCACAACGAGAGGGGCACCGGTCTTGTCCTTGTGGACAGTCAGATCGTAAGCACTGCGGTCAGCACAGCCAACACACTCAATCCAACCGTAGCTGGTCTGCAGCTCGGCGTCCCAGCAGTCGGTGGCGTAGTGGGCCATCTCGTTAGCCATGTGCTGGCGGAAACGCAGCTTGGTGGGGTCAACACCCAGCTTCATGAGGAAGGAATGGATACGGGCCAAGAAGTATCCAAGAGTCTCGTTGTCAACCAATCCAGACTCAACGGCCTTGCCAATGGTCATGGTGGTGAGCTGGGTGCTACCAGACAGCTGAACGTTGCGGTCAAGCAGACTCATTTCAACATCCTTGACCTCCTCGAAGCGGGCGTGCTTCTTGCCACCCTCAGGGTCGACATAGTGCTCAATTTCCGCCATGAGGAACTCACGCACACGCAGGAGACCAGCGCGGGGAGAGATCTCGTTACGGAAAGACTTGCCAATGGAAGCAGAGGCGAAGGGCATGGATTGCTGGTTGAACTCCAGGAGCTTAGCGAAGTTCAAGAATTGGCCCTGAGCGGTCTCGGGACGCAAGTAACCAGGCATGTTGCTGCTAGGACCGATGGAGGTCTGGAACATGAGGTTGAAAGAAACTGGAGGCAGCACCTCGCCGCCGGTGACGGGGTTGCGGATGTCATGCTTCTTGATGAGGGCCTCAAGTTCGGGGCCACCAAAGTTGTCAATCTGTGCGAGGGTCTCCTCGTACTCCTTGACGAGGGCATCGTCCAATTTCTTGGCTTCGGTGCCCTTGGCCTTTCTCTTCTTCTTGGCTTCCTTTTCTTCGTCCACGACGACCTTTTGGCCGCGCGCTTCCTTGTCACCCTTGAGGCGGTTCTCGAGAACTTCCTCAACCAGGTGGTCAGCACGGAAGATCTCACCAGTCTTGGGGTCTTTGCACATCCAATCGGCGAACTTATCCACGTGCCCACTGGTCTTGAGAATATCGTGAGGGGTCAACATGGTAGTGTCGACCTCGAGCATGTCCTCCTCGAGCACAAAGTGCTTGCGCCACAGATCGGTCATGTTGGCAATCAAGGCGGTTCCAGGTGGGCCATAGTCGTAAAGACCGGACACACCACCATAAATTTCGAAGGAGGGGGTGTAGAACATGCGGCGACGGAGCATGGAGTCGAGCACGGCCCGGTCAACGGACTGGCCGGTCTTGGTGTTGACGGTGGCCATCTTAGCGGATCGTTTCGAAGACTTCGGTGGAGGGGTGTAGGTCCTAAACTGAGACCGAAAGAAAGACGGAGGGGAAAGAAAAGAGCGGGGGGGAAATCGCAGGCGCGGCAATTGAGTCATCCACCACGCAGCCCCTCAGACACCACCGAGGAGACAGGGAATAAAATCAGATAAAAGGAAAAGGTGAATTGGTTGCTAGTATATTCTTTTATTTACTTTTTTCCGCTATATCGAGGAGATCTCCCGCCAGGTGGTCGAATCGCAGATTGTCGCCGGGGAAATGATTCTCCGAAATAATTTATTTCTCGGCGATCTCTAAGATTTTCTATTGATCTGCTACCGCAACTCTCGACCCCGACAGCTTTCAAAAATGGGTCCTATCGGTCGATCAGGCCCCCCTCCGGGCGTCATGGGCGACGAAAAGACCGGCAACAAGTTGCGCCGGAAGATGAACCACGTCAAGCGCAAGAGAGCCAAAGATGCTGCACGCCGAGCCGAGCGTTACGCCTTCAAGAAGGAAGAATCCAAGAACCCCAAGCTGAAGGCAGAGCGTCTCAGTCGCAATATTCCCCTGACCCTGGAGCGCAAGCGTGTCTGGAATGAAGCCGACAATGACGCCGACGAGACCGGACTGGGACTGAGCGTTGACGTCGAGCGCATCAAGCGCGCCAAGCAAGAGGAGGACGATGAGCTCAACCGGCCATTGGAGGAGGGTGAAGATGACAGCGAGGCTCCGGAATCAGACAACGAGTCTGTTGACAGTATGCTGGAATCGGATGGCAGCGACGACGAGGACGAGGATGAAGAAAAGGATGAAGAAAAGGAAGCCAACCGCGGCCGGAAGAAGTCACTCCCAACTGCCACGGAGCGTGCTACGAGTCCGACCCAGTCAACACGCAGCACAAACCTGAGCCTTGCCCCCGAGGCCTTGGCCGCCAAATTCCCTACACTCTTCACCGATGGACCTCCACCCACCCCGAAAATCCTCATCACCACCGGCCTCAACTCCACTCTCCACGAAGAAGCCGAGATTCTCACTGAGATGTTCCCCAACAGCGTATATATCCGTCGCAATGCACACCGGTACTCTCACAAGTTCTCGATCCGTGAGATCTCCAAATTTGCCGCCAATCGCAACTTCACAACGGTCATTGTCCTGAACGAAGATCAGAAGAAGCCATCCGGCCTGACAATGGTGCATCTCCCCGTCGGCCCTACCTTCCACTTCACCATCAGCAATTGGATCGAGGGCAAGCGTCTTCCGGGACATGGCCGAGCCACCGAGCACTGGCCCGAGCTGATCCTCAACAACTTCCGCACCCCTCTCGGTCTACTCACTGCTCACTTGTTCCGTACTCTGTTCCCTCCCCAGCCCGATTTCGAGGGCCGGCAGGTCGTCACACTGCACAACCAGCGTGATTACATCTTTGTCCGTCGTCACCGTTATGTCTTCCGTGAGAAGCGTGAGACTGAGAAAGCGGTCGTTGGTGCTGATGGAAAGGAGATGGTGGGCGCCGAAGGCATTCGCACCGGTCTCCAGGAACTTGGACCTCGCTTTACCTTGAAGTTGCGTCGTGTTGATAAGGGTATCCAGCGTGCCAGTGGACAGGAGTGGGAGTGGAAGGGTGGAATGGAGAAGAAGAGAACTCTGTTCCAGCTGTAAATGTCTCTTTATGTCACTAATTCCTGGTTTTGCATGGGGTTTCAAAGGCGTTCTCTATGGATATATTCAAAAGCTTGTCAAGAATTTTGCTGTTAGCTCACGATGGCCAATCCAATGACTACTAGGTGGTTACAACCTTGAAGACTCCCAGGCCACCGCGGCACTGTAGCTTACTTTGCTCAACTTGATTAATTCCCACATTCCAAGGTTGAAGGTCGAGGAAATCATAACACCAGGTATGGGAAGTTGATGTCTTCCAAATTAGACCAAAGATTCGACATTCGTAAGTGGATTATATTCCCGAGTACATCTAAGCAACATTCCAAGGTTCATGATCTCGGGGGATGGTTCTCACTTCCTGCTTAACTCCACGGAGAGCTCTTGGATCGGTCAATGGCCACCTGCGTTGCCTCATCAATGTCCTCCGTTGGCAAACCAAGCACCCCATTCAGCGTTCCCTTAGGTGTGATATCGCCAGAACCATCGTCAAAGAAGACCCGAGTGTATAGTGACTTCACAAAGCCAATCCGATCACCTCCCTGCATGTCCTTCACTCCGTTCTCATATCTCTCTCTGGCCGACTGTTTCGTGATAGTCCAATCCTTGTCTGTGGTCCCGGTGACCCTAAACACAGATTCCAGCATATCTTTCTGGCTGACAGTAAAGGAGTCGGCATAGATAACTTGATTCCTCAGACTCTCAAGGCAAGTCCCCTTAGCCTGGATGGGTAGACTCAACAGAGCAGCAATGGTTCGACCAACCTGTGGCCAAGTTGAAGTTGAGATCTTGGTCTCGCCTTCATCGAATAACGTCACAGTCTTGTTGGAAAAGTCGATACCAAAGGCTGATGGAATGGCTAAGCTCCATTCGTACCAAAACCCTGTGCTAACAGAGATATAAGAGCTTTTGCCGAGGTCTGCAATAGCTTTGCGGGTTACTTCTAGAAAGAGTAAGTCGGGTTAGCCAATAGCTCATTACTTCAGCATAACACCCCCAAGCTTGCACACTGCTTACCCTTTGGTTGGAATATCGCGATATCCTTAATGAAATCCGGATTCGCACTATCTGGCCCCCACTCATTTGGGAGGATCCATCGAACACCCGCCTCTCCAGCGGCTTGTACGAGGGAGAGGTCAACCTCATGGGGTGTGCCCCCACTAAGTGTGATGATCAGAGCTTCCTGGCCTTTGAGAGCCTCGACAATGGTCTCTGGCTTGTTGTAGTCGATTATCTTGGCATTTACCCCGGCTGGGAGCTTGTTTTGGCTGCCAGCGCGTGCAAGGGCTGTGACAGTATGTTTGCCAGTGTTGAGTAGGGCTTCTGTCATGAATTTTCCACTGTTTCCGCCAGCCTGTCGTACTGTTAGTCAATAGTTAGTTATAGATGTATTATGTCACTAACCCCGACGATGGCCACCTTGGTGATATAGTTCGAAGCCATGTTTGCAGTTGAAGATTTGTCAAAGATGAACAGCAGTTTGGAATGAGATGTTTCCAAGTTTATTCGCAAGAATCTGAAGATAACATTCAAGTCTTGTGGTAGTCTTTCAACGTTATATAGGTCTACAGGTCTTCGGACTTTGGAGAGTCGGACATAAGTAATTTAACACCGCTGTCGGCCATTCAGTTGTTTTGAGGCCGAACTGATCGGACTTTACAGAGGCCTTTCTATATTCAGCCGAGATGTAATTCAGTCCTTTGTAAATCCGAGCCAAGCTAGGCATAGCGACCTTAACGGCCCGGGGCGCTGTGTCACTCCACTCGGATCTGATTGTGATCTTGTTTCCAATCCTGAAAGAAGGAGTTAAGAAGCCATCAGATAACTAAAAACAAGAAACTTTTCCATACAGAGTTATGAAATTCTAGCTTGATCGTTCCTGAGGTTCTCCCTGTTACCCGGACATGAAACGTTACCAGCATACGTTCGGGATAAAACGCATGATCAACCTGCAGGAGCAGCCTCGCACCTTGAGCAAACCAGAATATTTGAGCAGAACATTTGAGTATTTTTGCCAGTACACAACGTATGAGTAATAACTCTGATACTTGGAATCAATTTACCCTTGACATGTTTTCGGTCTATATGGACGAGACTCTCGACAATGCGCGTAGCAGATAAACGAGTGAGCCAAGCAAAAGACCGTATTTCTGTGTATCTGTACCAGATAGCTATAAAATCAACTGGGGTCCAAATAGGAAATTGAAGACTGAGATCAAAGCCCACACTCCTGGAGCTCTCCTGCGTACCATTGGAACCCGACCTTGTGTGTGATTACAAGGAAAGAATTGGGTTGTACATTGAAATCATCGCAGACCTGAGCTTCGCAGTGAAAATATGGGACAGACTGTTTACCCAAGAAATTGTAAACAAGAATATAGCTTCAGATCAATTGATCAATTGAAGTCTGGGCACCCGTGGACAGTTTGTCAGCTCTGATAAACATAGACAAATCTCCAGGGCTGAATGTCATTTTTAAGCACAGACAGCTAATGTTTCCATCCCGTTCGGATTTCCCCTATCGATTCTCTTGCATCGGACATGATTTATGTTCCTTTGCTAATCACCACAAATGTCACCTTGTGGCTTTATTTTGCCCAGAACATAACAAGAGATCGAGGGCATAGCAGCCATGTCTTGAACTCGAGAGCAACTTGCTGAGACATTCTTCAATGTTCCCGATCCACTTTCTGTTCTTGGGTAATGTCTCACCATTCATCTCAGCGATCAGCTTACATTGTGGGCGAAGCGGTGCAGATGTGTGACTAGCCGGTACCCGATGGGACACAAAGCTCAAGGCTGCTAGTGCTATGCCGATCAGGAAAATCGGAGCCATCGACTTGAACAACAACATGCACTAGTATCCACCGGAACACAAGGATACGAAGGGCCCCGCTGTACGCGGGGGCCGTGGAAGTCCTCGGATAAGGGTCCGTTAGGCACATCCTATTTTTACGCTTTGTTTACTTTCTCAAGGCGTCCAACACTAATCAGACGGTTACAACGTTGTGGACCTGCGCCCGTTTGTCTCTCTCTTCAACATCGGTAAGACTGGGCATACGTATGTGTGAGATTGCAGCGAGACCTGCAGCGAGAATTTTCCTAGAACTTTGATCGCCCGAGAAACAGCCTGGACTGGAGTGGAGACTGCAGAGGTATAAAAACCCAAGCTTGGCCCTGGACTTGACCTTTTTTTTTTTCTTGAGTCACAGCAAGACATCTACAAATCTTCTCACTTCAATACACGAGTCCAACACTGCCAAAATGGGTCTCCTCAACACCGTCGCTTTGTTCTCTTTCCTCACCAGTGCTGTCGTGGCATTCCCCCAGCAGACTGCCGCAGCTGTTACAACTGCGCCTGCTTCGACAATCACCAAGGCTGCGTCGCTCAGCTGCTCAGACGGCTCAACCGCTGTTTACACCGTTGATTGCACATTGGGAACTCCCACGTCGTACTGCAGCAAGCCCGAGCCCCCAATTTCGTGCTCCTCAGGATTCTTCCCATCCGTCTATCACCCAGGTCATTGCATTGAAGCCTCGACCTGTTTCCCGGTTACTGCGGATTGGATCACGACCGAGTGCTCAAACGGCGCCGTTCCTTACACTACCAAGACTTTGTACGAGGGTACCTTGGCAGGAGGAGAGTCGACCACCATTAGTAGTGAGTTCTTCATTTTTTTCTCCTTGGACTTCGGTCCTTGGTGGCTCAAACAATTTCACCCGGAACAAAGCTAACCAATTATATAGTCGTGTCTTGCTCTTGCACCCAGGACTCGTATTACAGCTACACTCTGCTTCCAGGCGCCTCGAAAGGTGACACATTCTGCATGCCCTCCAGCTCCTGCGCAGCTGGCATGACAACCTCTACCTCAACCAATGAGTACTGCGCAACGGCATCTGCAACCGCCTGCCAGAACTTCCCCTTGGTGACCAGCGCCTGCAAGTGCGAGAACCCAACTGAGACAGCGGTTTACCCCGACATCGTTGGTGCCCGGCCCACCGGTTGTTCGGCTTGATTGGAAAATTGTTCACCATGACCTGAGCTAGCAGAGCAGTTATGCTTTTGCGTGGTCGTTCGTCTATATAGTTTACTGAAACAGCCAGTGTACTTCTGGTGAGAATAATCTTACGAGACCGCTATTAGTCTCATCAATAATGAGAAAAAGTTGAGAACCACAGAGTCATCATCATTTGTACTCGTATGTATCTCGTGCCTGCCGTCACAGGTAAATTAGTACTGCAGTAAAAGATAAGAGAGGTAGGCCGTCCAGATGGCAGAGTTTGAGCCACCATGTCGACCTTTTGCTTTATGGGAACACCCAGTCCATTCTTCATAGATGAAGGGATCTGGCAGTTTGAAGAAGAGAGGCGTTGGAACTTGGTGGCATGGACGTCTCCATCCTAAATGCCCGCTTTATCCATGGGTTCCTCGACGCTTGCGGGTGTCAGTGCTATGCTGAAAACAAGTATGTGGCAAATAAGGCAAGATCCGAGGCCGTGTCGTCCATTTTGGTGTCGGTTGTAGGATGTGAGATGGGCATGCGAGCGTTTCGGTTCCATTGAACCAGGTGTATTTGGGGAAGGGTCAGTGGTATGGTTCACAGGTCTTGTAATTATTCTCTGAATATCATCTACGCTGCATACTTAAGTATGAAGTCAAAGTAACATTCTACACATTGTATCTAACATACAATCCATTGAATCCGAGCAACGGGCTGCTTTAAGACTCAAGCTTGAGGAAATTCATCAAAGCTATTCAACTTGGTTTAGAAATGGATCGAAATTCAGTGGGCTGTGTATAAGGTGTGTAAGCAAGTTAAACAATGTACCTGACTCCGTCCCCGGTTGAGGCTGAAATCTATTTTTGTAGATCAATGACTCCCGCGGCCTTTGACAATTTTCTCTCCAACAACACCCCAACCCAACCACCAAAATCAACGCGAAACGGACGGGACAACCTGTAAAAACTCCCAGAAGACAAGCGAAAACGAACCTGTCTATGTCCCAAACCCCCAATTCCAATCCCAACACACCCACCATGACCACCCCCCGCCGCCTCCTCTTCATAGCCTCAATAGGCAACAAAGCCCCCTATCGCCAAACCCGCCATAGCGCCGGACACCTCCTCCTCGATGCCGTGAAACCCCTTCTCGCGCAGTCCCTCCCCAACACTGGCGCCTTCCACGAAACCTGGTACAGCCCAACCTACATGAACGAGTCAGGCCCAAAACTAGTACGACAACTAGAGAGCTGGGCAACGCGTCAGAATGAACTTGTTACGAAACTCTACGGACAAGCTGGACACACGGCCGAGGGTTCATCAACTCGCTACCCAACTACGCTGGTAATTCTACATGACGAGATGGAGGCTCCGCTGGGCAAGTTGCGGGTTAAGCGCGGGGGACCCGAGGCATTTAGTCTGCGTGGTCATCGTGGGCTAATTAGTATTTGTGAGACGCTGCGTGGGAAAGGACTTTACCCTGCTCGGGGGAAAGCGACTTTGGATTTGGACATTTTGCGCGTTGGAGTTGGCATTGGGAGACCGCCGACGAGGGAGAAGGGAGCTGTCTCGAATTATGTCCTTGCGCCTGTGAATGAGGCGGAGATGAAGGCTTATCGCGGGACGGCGGAGAGTGTGGTTCAGATTATCGGGGAGGAATTGTATAAATGATTTTTTGGCTTGTTGGATTTGCATTGGATTGCGGATAGTTGCGAACTTGATACCCAATTGAACTCCTGTATTAAGCATGTACATATAAGCCCTTTATAAAAACGCCCAAGCGAAAAGAGCTCGACTCGAAAGAGCACAGAAGTTAGAATGGGGGGAGCGACTGAAGGAAAAAAAAAAAAAAAAAGAAAAAGAAAGAGAGAAAAACAGAAATTAAAATGCAATGAATAACCATTAGACCGTGCCTGCGATGCTCAAATCCCGAATCTCCTGCAGTACTTCCTCGACCCGATTGTCTAGATCGCCCTTTGCATATTGGTCGCGCGTCTCAGCATCGAGATACTGTTGGACCTGTGCCATGCGTGAGTATGCCTCGGCGCAGAAACGCAGCTGAATCTTGACAAGGGCTTCGAAGCTAGGATCCAGATATGGTACACGCAGGTCGATCAGCTGAGGAAGTTCGTTGAAGAGTTGCTCGTTCAACTGCTCATAGGATTGCTTGGCCATTTCGGCTTCGCGCTCGGTTCGTGGAAGCTTGGTGACATCCTTGTCGGGCTTTTCAGCGAGCTTCTTGACCTTTGCGCGCATCGCATCATAGTCGAGAAGTTTGTGGTTGCGCTTCTTGATACACTCGTTGACGTCGGGGAAGTAGGCGCAGAACCGGGAGATTGGGTCGAGGACCGTAGCACTGTTTCTTTGTTAGCCTTGTTTGATATCGGCCAGCGCAAGTCTGCATAACCTACCGGTATGGTCCGTCTAGGGCCTTAATGGTCTCTGCATCGAGATCTTCCACAGCCTGCTTGTAACTTCGGCTCACACCGTCGCGGGTTCCGGCATCGCCGTAGAACGCATCGATGGTTTCCGCGATGCGCATTTGAGACGCCGTCATAGCTATATCAATCAGTGATACTCTCTTGTACTCCGTGTCTGCCTTGTCTTACCTCGTAGTGAGTCAAGATAACCCTTTGCTTCCTTCTGCAGGCGATTCGCCGCTGTCTCCATGGTCCGGTAGCGCCTATTGACTATCAGCTCCGTTCAGTCCGCTTTCTCGACTAGCCATACCGTTCCTCAATCTCATAGTCGCGATCGTTCGTCCTCTCAACATGCCCTGCCTCAGTCAGCGATCCGTCGATCTATTGCGGGGTAAATATCCAGACTCACCCGTCTTCATCATCACCTGTGTCGTCGCTCGGTTGACATTTTTCTTAAACCCTACACTCCTCGTTAGACCCTGGCTGCTTCGTTCTCAACTTCAGGGTGGGGGTGCGTACCTGCCCAAGACATCGTGGCGGTGTGATCCCGAAGGTTCCGGGGGAAATTTCAGCGACGAGATAAAAGTGGTGCGTGGGTAAACTTGGGAAACGTATGATGACAGATTGCAATGCGCTGGAAGGGAAGTGCTGTTCAGGGCGTGTTACAATTGGAAACCAAACCTAAGCGCAACCAACTCACTGTGGCTGTGACGGGCAGGGGTGGCTTAGCTGATTATGTCATCATCCTAATGCGGCGACGTCATGCTCATAGGGCTACAGGGCTACCGTCGTAGACGAACATCCAGATTTTCTTCACTTGAAATTACAGGTACACCTGAAACTCCGTATTGAAGATTTCAGAGCTTTACCGTCCTTTGCATTCTTTTGGGGGACATCAAAAAGCACAAGGCTGAACCTTGCGTCTGTAATACCGTACAGGTGCATGCATATTTGAGTCTCAATTTTTGATCGTAACGCAGATGCCTAAGTTATGTCTTGGCAAGCGCCAAGCCTTGTACAAATATGTGCAGAGGACTCGGGGCCTCTTTTCTCAGAATCCACCTGGCTGCATATATGCTAGTTACCGTTGGGTTACAGTTACGTACAAAGATAGGCCCAGTGTCGTGTGGGAATCGTCAAGGTGAGGAGTGGAAAGTGTGGAAAGTGTAGGTACGAGTAGAAGACACTGATATCAGAGCTGTATCAGAGCTCGAGCTCTGTACTCCGTAGTGGACCTGACATTGTGCCTTGTTGATCAATTGATGTCATTGTGTTTGGGAAAACAAGGCACTCTAGTCCGGAGACTATAGCCCTTGGAGGCATACTCGTAAAACGTAATTCAAAATGCCAACTTATATACAAAAAGCATTGGGAATATACTTAACCCCGCCAGGAACAAGAAACGAGTGAAAAAAAAGAGGCAAAAAAAAAGATTTGGTTCAGACAACCTCCGGGACCCAGGGTCTGGGCTCGTAGTGGTACAAAATAACGCCAACTCCAAAATGAGGTATCAGCCGAAGAAATACCGAAGGAAATGAAAACTCCGAAGGAAAAGCTGGAAAAAAACGGAGAGAAAAGAAAGGGTCATGATTCTTCGTTGCATTGACGTTGAACACATGAAGGACAAGCTAAGAGACGAAACAGAGGTAACAAGGAACAGGCTGAGGTGATGCGCCGAGAAAAAGATATTCGGGCCTCCTGGGAGCATTCAAAGACATAAATCAAAGGCTCCATGAATGGGTCTATTCATGTAACCACCCTGATGCAAAGAGATAGAAAGAAAAGGAGTATGGAATTGCAAACCCAAAATGGGCGGTACCAATTTGATTGGGATCAGAAGCCTTCCTCACCGGCCTTGCACAGCTTGATCTGGCGCACCCATTCGGACTTGAGCACCTGCGAAGCGTTGATGCGACGCGAGGGATTCGGGTCAAGAATGGAGTAAATCACGTTGCGGCAACGTGCCTGTGATGGAATAAGTTTCTGCCCAGCACAAGGGGGATTAGCATTTCTTACCCGATGCAACGTCTCAATGGGCGCATATCCATCTTCGTGTTTGCGACCGTCAAGGTACCGCTGGTAGAATTCGTCTTCGTCCTTGCGGGCTACACGCCAGAGATGACGACCCGTGCGCATCGCCATGTAGATAACGCCTGTCGCCCACAGGTCAACAGCTCGAGGGTCAAATTCCCGTTCGACGTATTCCTCGGGCGCGATGTAGGGCGCGGAGCCACAGAGGCCAGCCGTCATGTGGGCTTCTTTTTCCCAGGCCATGCGGAAGCATTCACCGTTGCCAAAGTCGGTAATTTTGAGGGCACCATGGGTAGTTAGGAGAAGATTTTCGGGCTTGAGATCCCGGTGGGCTACGCCCATCTCGTGCATGTATTCAACGCCGCGCATGAGCTGCTTGAATAAGCAATCTGCCTCGGCCACTTCGAGCTTGCCGGCGGCTAGGACGAGGGTGTACAGATCGCCTCCGGCGCAATATTCCATAACTTCACAATAGTCACCTTTAGCATCTTGAAGAAGGTCCAAGGTGTGGATGACATTCGGGTGACGAAGAGAGGATGAAATGCAGAACTCCGAAGTCAAGCGTTTTTGGTACTTCTTGGTGGTTTCCTGGGGGCGGCGGCGGAACTCCTTGACGGCATACAACTGCTCGCACTTGGAGTCTTGAGGATCAACTTTGTGGGAGATGCGAACGATACCGAAAGCACCACGGCCCACGATCTCCTGACACTTGCCGTACTTGTCGACCAACGAGGCCGTGGCGTTCGGACCACCCTTCTTATCAGCAGCCAGCTTATCTCGCTCGGTCTTGAACTGGTCGATCCAGGTCGACATCAGCGACAGCTGCTGCTCATCAACCTGGTCATCCTTCTTGCGGCCACCCAACATGTCGCGCAGCAGGTCCGTCAACTTCTCCTGTCGCCTGGCGCTTCTCAGGTGATGCGAATGATTCCCGAGACCTTCTGGGAGAATTTCAAAGCGCTTGTGGACCGGCGCGGCTCCATCTTTCTTTTTATCGTCGGTCTTCTTTTTATCTGGCTTATCCATAGGCTCACTCTTTAGCGACGGGTTGCGGGATGGGGTGCGGGAGGTTGCGCCTCTAGAGGGAGGCCTCGAAGGAGGTCGTGATGCCGGTCTTGAGGATGGCTTTGATGTTTTGCCGTTGGTGTGCTGGATGCTTTCTAAACTGCTGTCGGATAGGTCTCGGTGGACTTCATTATTTTCTCTGGTTGGTGTGTTTTTCCCCGTGCTGGAGAACATGCGCGTGAGTCGAGCGGCCATAGTTGCTTTAGTCGGTTTCCCGGTCGGGGAGAGCGCTGGATGAGAGAGATCGTTTGGATTCGCATGAGTGGACAGGTTCATGCCCGCAAGGGCTCTTGCTACCGCAGCATCTCCATCCCGAGGATCATATGAGTGCTGTGAAGCTGCGGCGGAGGAGACTGCGGAAGGCACAGGTGAAGGGGAAGGTGGAGTCATGTGCGGTGGATCGGCGGTTGAAGATTGAGAGAAAGGAGGGGTGGGAATACGAAATTCTCCGTTCCCGACAGCTCACACGCTAAGCACGACGAGAATTGATCAAACGGATGAGGCAAAAGACCAAATCAACAGGGAGCCTGAGGCAAGACAGTAGGATAACCAGCTAATTCCGTACACGCATACGCAGGACGGGTCCTCAGAAGAGAACCTATATAATCAAGGACACAAAGAAGTAGAGAGAAGAAGAAATGAGAAGCAAGTGGGAAGGATAGATTTGGCGATACTCACTAGGTAGAAATACCACCGAGCTTTTTTTTTTTTTTTACTTTTCTTTTTTGTTGTATGGGGAATACAGAGGGGAGCCGTGTAAATTACGATCACTCTCATTCAAAAGAATAGGGTAATTAAGATACCTAAATTACCACAGAATGTGGGAACTGCAACGGTACAAGGTTACGCTCCTGGTGTTTTTAGCCCACAGGATTTCAGGGCTGGCCTGGACCTATAGGGCTACATATGTATACGGCGACTCCGGCGTTGTGCCACCCTGCAGGTGAAGAAAGGGTTATATACCGACGAGTTAGGGACTCAAGTAAAATGTGCTACAGTTCACTACAAAGACGGGATGAGAGATTTAATGGGGAACAGTAATCCAATTACCTCTAAATTGTACCCGGCCAGGTTTTTTTTGTTCGGGATCCTTGGAAACGGGTCTTCCGCACTCCGTAAAGATTAAGCAATCGTTAAAACCCACCTTCTTAGGTAGGACTATGTAAAGTAAATGACGTTGGGGAGGTGACGTCGCAGGAATTGATTATGGTAACACAGCTTTACTCAGTACACATCTTAGTTAACTATTACAATATCAAGTCCAATCATCGCCATGGTCTTCGATGTGATTTCTAAGTGACTGCCGCCACCACATGACTGAGGCTGTGCTCTCTCCTCCCTATACCCTGATTTGATCAGGCCCCCGCAGCCGACGCGCTGGTGCGCCGTGTGGCGGTTGCAGACCACACAGAGGGGTACGCCTAATGATCCATTTTTCTTGTTCTCCATAGGGCCCCTAATTGGTCAAACCGATCTGTTGATCTATTAGCCGGACAATTCAATATTCGGACGTGCTTCATTACTCTCTCCGGCAGGTGGGGGATTGATCATTCCATACCACTGTTCCGACTCCATTCCGCTCTCAAGTCTCCATGCGTAGTTCCGACCTCGGGACAACCCCCTCCTTAAGTATGAAGTATTCCATACCAGTATAGCGAGTCAATATAAAGGGGAGCACGGTCTGACAGTGACAAGTATACGGGAAATCCTAATTCGGCTGGGGACCAATTGCCATATTCCAAGGCTGCTCCGTCAATACCCGTGCTCACTTTACATTGTAGATGCGCCAACTGAAAAGACGATCGCTGCGTAACTTCTAATGCACTGCTCCCCATCGGGCTCGTGGAGACCGCGTGGGGTCTCTGCGCGAGTCACCCGATGTATGTCTACCAGCGAGCTCGCTATCTACAGACGGCAGTTAGATGTTGATCAAGACGTAGGTGATGCCCCCGGACTATCTGTCCGATGTACTCCAACCTGAAAATACACTTGAGAAGACCCGGGACTCGTTTTCCCCGGGAGGGGATTTCCAAACGCTTAGTGTTAGGGATTTTCACTAAGCGTGAGCTTCAACGGAGTACGTGAAGTACACAAAGTACGGAGGGAATCAGTATTTTCGCTTCTTGCGACCTTACCCCGGATTCTTCTCTGTCTCCGTGGCCTCGGCACGGTAATAACAGAACGTTTTGCAAAACAGTATATACACCGTACTCTGTTACAGATACTCCAATTCTCACATGAGAAGAAAGCAAAAGAGCACAACTACATACGAGGGATTTTCCACTCGCCAATCACAATCCCAACCTCAAACCCATCTTAATTTCCCTTCCATTCAGAAGTACCGCGACTTGTCCCGTCATATCAATCAGTGCACTGGCTCGCGTACCCAGTACGCTTACAACTCACAACCCTATTCCCGTCTACCCCTCAAGGTAAACCTCCATCTAGTTATTACTTACTCCGTATAAGTAAAAAAGCATTCCGATTCGACCTGCAGCTTGACCGCCAGTTCGGTTGCATCCGCCATGTATTGGCTTGGAGCTCCAGATAAGCTGTTGTCTTTGCTTTTGTCGGAGCTCTTGCATATCGCATTAGTGTGGATGCTCCACGGTTGACTATGAGCGGAATAGCACGCCCAATGCGATCGTCCGCTGCTGTTACTGGGCAGCCTGTACATGTATATTGAAGGATGCGCCTGTGCGGAAGCCAAGTCCTGCAGGTTGGAGCTGATCAAGCTGATCAAGCTGAGCTGGTCTTGCTTTTGCTTTTGCTTTTTGCTTTTTGTTTTTGAATTTTCTTTGTTGTCTTTTTCTCTTTCCTTTTCTGTTTTCTGTCGAAATTGCTTGTTTTCCCATGCAATTGAGACCCAAGCGTATGATTTCTTGATTCGACATACAGTTTTCTCCATACAACATACGGAGTACAGCCTATCGGTTCGGTTCACGCACGAGCCATGGGCCGATTGGGAAGGTCGCTTGGCGTTGGCTATAGCTTTTTCGCTCATATAGTGGTTTCAGCATTAGCTCTAGGCCTAGCCTCTGACTGTATTTTATAACAGGCTTATATATACCCTGGGATCACCACGATGGGCAAACTTGATATTGTGAGACAATTGGCACGGATATTGCGTTATGATCAACCCCGATTTTCCCCGTTGCCCTTAGGCATCTGTCATGGACATGGTATCAATATCAACCGTTGGCCTGGGCGACTCTGTTGACCCGGGGGCCGGCATGCCACGTGGGTGAGAACCCCATCTGATTGACTCATAAAAAGGCGGTATGAACAGCCCGGTCTTGGCTGTTAGTATGTGGCTCCCACGGGCGAGACGATGGGTGCTTGTATGCTCGATTGCAGCCATGCGGTTCTCATGGATATGGATCTGGCATCGGTCCAGCGGTCAGGTCTGTTGTGTTTCCTCCCCCCTACGTATTCGCGGACCTCCGTCACCTTCAAAGTATCATGATAGAACACGTGTCTGCTACCAGATCAGAAAACAAGTCAACAACAAGGCAGCTTGCCAGGACTAAATCACACATACCACAAATTGTTCCAGGGACTCTTCGAATAGCTCGTTGTTCACACCTACACCGCCGGGGTGTTCGGTCGGCGATAGAGGGTTTTTGACAACTGAAGCGGTCAGCTCATGTCACGCTGGATAGATCCCTTGATTCCACAAACCATATTCCACAAACAGATTGATGTAGATTTGCTGCAGTGCAATGCGCATGCTGGGACTCTTGAGGTCTGTCAACATTACAAACTTGGTATTCGTCGGTGTCTCGTAGTAGTGCAGCTTATATTGACTGGTGGTGAATGACACGAAGCTGTCGAGTGATCGATGTTAGCACCTGGGCCTAGACGCTCGCGTCGGGTGGTGATTCTCACTTGTCGTCTTCGCCCCCTAGCTTGCGCACCATGTTTCGCAGGGAGAACACCGTTCCAAAGACCAGCTTCGAATCATCATCGCTCGATCGAACCGTTTGGCCGAGACCGGTCGGTGCGGCTTCTGATCGGGACTTCCCCACGATTGAGGTTGGGCGCGGTAGCCAACGGCGCTTGTAGATGCATTCGGCTGATGGAGTTAGTTCAAGTCCCCCTAAAATTCACGAGCAAAGTGTTTACCATGCCGATCAAAGATATAGAACGAGTAGACGACCATTGTTGTAGGTTGACCAAAGTCCCGTTGGGTTGTTGTTCAGGAGAAGCTGACGGGGCGGTGAAATCCCCCAAGTGCCGCGATAACAGATCAAAAGGCGCTGCCTAGAAATCGATTCTTACGGCTCATATTACCTACATGTACGGAGTAGATTTGGGTTCTATTCGCCTCTGCGTAAGGCTGACTAGGCCGCATCTCACGTTCTCGAAACCCCGCGCTTCAACTTCCTCTTTACCCCACACCTATATTCAATGGATGGAAATGCCCCAGTCCCGGAGGTCTCTGAACTGAATACACGGCCGGGAATAGTTGCGTGAGTTGCCCCATTGCGTATGATATATCATACTAACCCTCTGCAGATCTGCGTCATATGACTCTCCCCAGAGACACAGACGGCGAGATCCTAGAGCAAAGCGTCCAGTGAAGGTTAGCTTCTCGCCGTCGTGATAGCTGCAGGAAATTGACGTTGCGCAGGAAACACTGGATGCCCGCTCTGAATACTATACCAGTCAAGATGACGGTACTGCAGAGCATCGTATTAACCAATATGTGATCAAGCAAGAGATCGGGCGAGGCTCCTTCGGCGCCGTCCATTTGGCAGCAGACCGGGCTGGTAATGAATATGTAAGGGACATATACCACCCTAGGAGTGCGTGTGCTTAATGTATGGAATTTTTGAGATCTAGGCTGTCAAAGAGTTCTCCAAGTCGAGGCTCAGGAAGCGTGCACAGTCGCATCTACTGCGACGACCCAGGGGACCAAGACGACCCGGTACGGACTTCAACTCGCCTTTGCACCGTCATCCTTCAGGGGACGATACTGAAAATGGTAAGAATCCGTTGTATCTGATCAAAGAGGAGATTGCCATCATGAAGAAATTGAATCACCATAACCTGGTGTCGCTGATCGAGGTCCTGGACGACCCGTCGGAAGACTCTCTCTATATGGTCATGGAAATGTGCAAGAAAGGCGTGATCATGAAGGTTGGATTGGAAGAAAGGGCAGATCCATACGATAACGAGCATTGTCGGTGTTGGTTCCGCGATTTGATCCTGGGCATTGAGTACCTGCATGCACAGGGCATCGTCCATCGTGATATCAAACCGGATAACTGTTTGGTCACTAATGACGATGTGCTCAAGGTGGTTGACTTTGGTGTGTCGGAGATGTTCGAAAAGAATTCGGACATGTTTACTGCCAAGTCGGCTGGATCACCAGCGTTTCTTCCACCAGAGTTATGCGTCGTCAAACATGGTGATGTCTCAGGAAAGGCAACGGACATTTGGTCTATGGGAGTGACTCTATATTGTCTTCGATATGGAAAGCTACCATTTGAGAAGCACAACATTTTCGAGCTGTACGATAGTATCAGGGGTGACCATCTTGTTTGTGAGAACGAGGAGGATCAATCGTTCAAAGATTTGATGGAACGGATCTTGGAGAAAGATCCAGAGAAGCGGATCGACATGTTTGGGTTGCGAGTAAGTTGACTGCACCTTTGCAGTTGCAGGTCGTGTTATACTGACAGAGAGAAAAAAAAAAGGACCATCCTTGGGTAACGAAAGATGGAACTGATCCTTTGCTGTCATTTGAGGATAACACATCGCAAATCATTGCACCGCCAACGGAGGAAGAGATGGAAAGTGCCATTACAACCACAATGGGTCATCTTATGACGGTGGTAAGGAATGAACCGCATGTTTCCCTCGAGATCCGCTAACAAACCCCAGATGAAAGCCGTCAAGAAGTTCAAACGATTGACGGATCCGACGAAAACAAGCGCACCCCAGACTCCGATGCAGAGTATTCTCGGCGGTGACGAGTCCTACTTCGTCGAGCCCCCGATGGAAATGGACCCGGACGAGCCTTTTCCTGCAGTCGGTGAACCAGGTCTTGGTCTTGGAGCAGGCGTTCGAAAAGCCTTCAGACACCCATTCGCTGGTTTCCGCGAACCTCAACCAGGATCAAGCCACTCAACCAGCTTTTCATCACGGCAAAGCACAAGCAGCCAACGACCCGACATTGTTGAGACACGATCAGGCCATGCATCCCCGGCTCTATCACGCACCAATTCCGCGGCAAAACGCAGCATGGAAGGAACGAGGGGCCATGCTCGTGATCCCTTAGAGGAGGAATTCCCGTTCCTCTTCATTGGGCCATCCACATATACGGGCTCACACGAAGTAAGGGACGAGCCCGCTCAGGTATTCGCAGAGCCGGATGCCCTCGATCAAGAACAAGAGCTAGAGGAAGAGCCTGAGCCTATGGTGAGTGAATCACCTGGCGCAGCGGAATTCGACATCTACGAGACGGCGTATCGCTCGGAACTGGAGCGCATCAAGCAGGGCCTGGAAGATAAGAACACCGGTCCCAAGGTATATCTGAATCGACGCGTGGAGAACAAAGATGAGGTCATGAGACTGGCCAAGGAAAAGGCCTTGGATCTGCAAATTGGCCAGAAGTTTGCGTTGGCTTCTAGGAGGGCGGGATCTGCTCTTGGATCTGCTGTCAATGCCTTCCGCTCCATGCCAAAGAGGCAGGCAGATCAAGAAGATACGGAGGAGGGGTTAGACAACCCCGAGCCTAAACGCCCTTCTGTTTCTGGAGCTGAGCCTCGGCCTCAACCGCTTGAGGCAGAGGGTGTTTTCTCCACCGGGGAGGATTCAAAGGGTCACCTGCGGGAGATCCTTGACGCGAATAAGTAGGGTATGTTTTTGCTCTGTATAGAATTGGGGGATGTTGCATATAGGTTCTGTATACCTGCATATCATTTGGAATCAAAGCTCACGGACTGGAGCCGCTTTTTGACATCGATTTGAGCTAAGACTGAGTATATCGAATCGAGACCACTTGTATTCGCTGGGTGATAATGCCTGGACTGGCTTCGGGAAGATCACTCGGATCATGCTTTCGGAGGTGCCTGGAAGCGCTGTAGTCGAATCTGAATGCAATCATCTTTCCAAGACAGGATGGACATGGAAGTAGACGTAGAAAGAACATCAATGGATTTAGATCATTATTAGTCCACAAGGAATGTAAGACATCTCTAGAGAGTCAAGATAAAAAGCAACCAAAGACAGAAGAGAAAGCAAAGTAAAATACAATATAATGCCTAGAATCCAAGGCTCAAAAAGACCGCCATCGCCATGTAGCAGACATCAATCATCACGCACGCTAGACACTGAGGCAAAGCATAGCCAAAGAGAAAAAGTAAAGAAAAGAAAAGAAAAAGAAAAAGAAACAAGATGCAAGGCATGGCATCGAGTGAGCTTCTCAGAGCAACAAAAATTGACTCGCTGGTTAAAAAGAAAGCCGTTATCATCGAAAGTCGTCACAAAATTGTTTCTTATGAGTCGAATATCGACCGAGAGCCCCACAATAAACGCTGTCTATTGTTCATCATCATTCATTCATGGCGCAAAATAAAATTCATCAATGGACTTTCAGCGCGGTTTCTCCGCTTCATGCTCTGGTCGACTACCAGAGTCTCGACGCCCATCCGAGCGCTCAAAGAACTGATACCCGCGTTCAGGATTGGGCCTGGGGAATGCGTCTGGAGGACCGAGTTGCAGTGCGTGAGGTGATGGAAGCGGGTGACCCATTTCCGTGGGTCGAGGGAGTTCGCGCATCATATTGCGTTGAATATCACGGCCTTCGACAGGGCGCATTTCATAGATCGGTTGAGCCTGGGACTGGGATGGAGGCTGCACTTGCGCCTGGGGCTGAGGTGGAGCATGCGCCTGAGCATGGACATGCGCTTGTGCTTGGGCCTGAGCTTGATTTTGAGGCTGCGGTTGGTGTTGAGGTTGGGGTTGGACCTGATGCGGTTTTTGGAAACTTGTCGGGAATGAAGGTGGGACGGGGCTGGTTGGTGAGGGAGCCTTTCGAGGTGGTCGTCGTGGTGGTGCCGGGTAGGGCTCGCCGCGGGATTCGGCCAGTAGTTTGCGTCGCTCTGTCTCTGCTTTGCTGGGTCGACCTCTTTTGCGGGGCTTTTCGCCGGGGTCTAATCTGGGCGAGAGTTGGGCAGATGAACCACTTTCGCTGCCGTATGAGGCGGCGCTTGGTGGTGGCCCTGGTGGCCGGGGCTGGATTGCTCTTGGGATTGGCTTGTCGGAGGGGTACAGTGGCCGCTTGCGCATGTCTGTCGGGCCAGTATCGCGTGGAAACGGCGTCGGATGTGGTGGATGCGCGGGTTGTTGGACCATACTGAGAAAGGCCATCTTGCACGAGCTGAGTGACCGGCCTTTTTGGGTTTGTTAGATCTTGAAGTTTTCCCTCGGCAATTGGTTCATACCTTGAGGCAGGGGAATATGCTCCCAGTTTGGATTGATCCCATTCTCTTTAATCAAGCGAACCAGATAACTCGATGGGATTCCGGCTTTCTTGAGAATCTCTGTGAGCAGAGTATACTGGACGATCAGCATGATATTTCACCTCTAGGGCCACCCGGTCTTACCTTGTCCTCTTCGGTCCATGGCCTATCAGATGGATTCGACATATCCCATGGAAGCGGATTCACGATGACCAAAAAAAAAGGAAAGGAAAGGGAAAAAAAAAGGAAAAACGAAGAAATTTCGAACACAAAGACCTCCCAGATATCAAAAGGAAGAGCAGGTCACGGTCATAGGACCAATTGACCAAGAGAACAGTAAAAAAAAAAGAAAGAAAAGACGAACGCGCAACGAGAGTTATGTCCCCATATCCTGACGAAACACACACAGAAAGAGAGAGAAGGCTTGATAGCCAAACAAAAGGGGAAAAAAGGAACCAAAATGCATTCAAAAGTCCCCTCAGATTTTCAGGAAGATTTCCTAGCCAAACGACTTGAGCAAGCCGGGATCGCGCAGGAGAGCGGGAAAGCTGCAGGGACGATACAGGTAACATAAACCCATAGATCACAGTTTCATCTTTTGAAGAGTTTCGACGCAAAATTACCACTAAAAATGGGTGAGTATCGAGGGGTTGAGTGGGGATCTATACATGGTGTACTGCAGCAAAGGCCCGTAGGTCTGAATGGGCTTAGGTTCGGGAAACGGTTGGCCCTGGCAGTTCCAGAGCCAAGGGACAGTGGGAGAAAGCGTTGTTTCTTGTTTTTTCCGCTGGATTCGTGCTGCTTTTTTTGTGGCTCCCATTTTTTTGTCCCGGAGGTTTTTGTGGACTTGGGTGGATTTAGTGTCGTGATTGTGGTTTCATCGGTTCTTTTGGGTAAACAGTGGGCTGTCTGGGGCCTAGGATCGGCGCTGATAGGTGTGCATGGCCCGGGACGTTGGGTCTGTGAAAAGAATATTCTGAATAATTGTGTATGAGGCTAGCTTCAGGGGTAGGATCGTAAACAAAAGCGCGTGAATAGATTGATGAACTGCTCCGTACTCTGTATACTCCGTTGGTTCGTATGAGTTCCCCAGGTTAATGGGATACGAGTAGTAATAAGAGATGGGAGAATGGGATCATGATGTATAATATTAGTATAAATGGTGGATATCACTAACCTTGAAATAGAGCATCCAAATATGATCATGGAATATTCCATATACTTAAGTATATGGTGTATCCTTTCTCTTTTCTCTCACCATATTCACTACGGAGTCAGCTAACCCTAACTTCAGCACTTGAAGGCAATAATACTTCACAATGACACCCTGTACATCCGTACACAGAGTATACTCAAGTTGAACACAATACTCCGTACAGTAACGCACAGACAAAGATTACATGCAGACGCGCTTTTGTTTTCGGTCACTCTCATCCAATCGATTTCTCCGTCATTTCTGACTTCTGAACTCTCCAGGGCTGCTCTTATCTGGACAATCTGATCGATCTGGTCTTCACTTCAACACAGAGACACAAAAGTGCAGATCCAACAGTCAGCTTATGCTTCATGCTCGCTAAGCGCATCCAGAGGAACCATCCTAAGTAGAGAGCGGCTATGACCTCTCGTCGCGGTAGAATGGTATCTCCACGTCCGATAGAGCGGGCGGTGAGAGCCAACGCGAAATGTCAATAGCTTCGGTTTGATTCCAATTAGGCTATTTTTCCTCTCAATGCGCCTTTACCGCTTCGGCCCCCTTGATATCCCGGCAGAATTCTCATAGCTTCTTTTTTCACTCGCGCTGATTCGAATCTCTCTCCCTCGATTCAATAGTCCGTGTCGTCATGTCTCATGGCCACGCGGACTCTAATCTGAAGATGGAGTCGCCTTCCCTGAATGGCAGTCTGAAAAATGGCGACTCCCACTCCTCCCGTACATCCCGATCACCACTCCCCAAAAAGGAAGAGCCATCACCAACCCCCAACGCCGACGCCATGAAGGATCCCGAGATCAAGCAGGAACGCCCCAAGCTGTCACGCAGCTCGTCAAACGTGTCGCGTCCTCCACCGCTATACACGCACCTGCCAGATAGCACCCAAGATGCGCTCGCCACGTTCGAACAGATTCCCCGCTGTGTGTACGCCAACAAATACATGGGGTTCACCGAGTTGGCCATGGAGTGCGATTGCGCTGAAGAGTGGGGTAAGATTGATTCTGGACCACCTGGTTCCCCCGTAGACTCGATTTTCTTGAACACTCACTGATGTGTTCTCTGCAGACTCGAATCTGGGTCAGAATCTGGCCTGTGGCGAAGACTCCGATTGCATCAATCGTGCTACCAAGATCGAATGTGCGGGCGACTGCGGCTGCGGTGCAGATTGTCGCAATCAGCGCTTCCAGAAAAGTCAATTTGCTTCCGTGGCAGTGATCAAAACCGAGAAGAAGGGGTTCGGATTACGCGCGGAAACTAATCTCAACGAAGGCGATTTGATCTACGAATATGTTGGGGAGGTTGTGGCGGAACAGCAATTCCGGAAGCGTATGAGGCAGTATGATGATGAGGGCATCAAGCATTTTTACTTCATGTCCCTGAGCACGGGCGAATTTGTCGATGCGACCAAGCGTGGTAATCTCGGACGGTTCTGCAACCACTCCTGTAACCCCAATTGTTTTGTTGACAAATGGGTTGTCGGGGAGAAGATGCGCATGGGAATCTTCGCTGAACGGTCCATCCAGGCTGGTGAAGAGCTAGTATTCAACTACAACGTTGATCGCTATGGTGCTGATCCCCAGCCTTGCTATTGCGGAGAGCCAATGTGCACTGGCTTCATCGGAGGACGCACTCAGACAGAGCGTGCAACGAAGCTGTCCAATGCAACCATGGAGGCATTGGGCATGGACGACGAAGAAGATGGATGGGATACCGTGGTTGCCAAACGGCCCAAGAAGAAGAAGATGGGCGAGGATGATGAGGAATACGTGGACAGCGTACAACCCAAGACTTTGGATGAGGACAGCGTGACCAAGGTTATGGCAGCTTTGGTACAGTGCCAGGAGAAATGGATTGCTGTCAAATTGCTTGGACGTATTCAACGCTGTGAAGACGAACGAGTGCGCAACCGCGTGGTCAGAATGCACGGCTACCAGATTCTCAACTCACAGCTGGCCCGATGGAAAGAGGACCAGAACGTGGTGCTGCAGATCATGAACATCCTGGACGGATTCCCTCGACTCACGCGAAACAAGATCCAAGACTCCAAGATTGAAGCCAATATTCAACCACTGACGACATGTGAAGATGAGCGCGTGGCGAAGAAGGCCGTTGCATTGCTTGCAAGCTGGGCTGGATTGGAAGTGGCTTATCGAATTCCGCGCATGAAGCGCGGCAAAGATGCGAAACAGGCAGTCAATCAGTTTGAGCGTCGTGAAACCGGAGGCCAACAGCGCCAAAGATCTCTCACCCGCTCTCCATCACCAGTCTACGATGCTCCCCGGGGGCCGGCGCAGCAACGACGAGACAGGGGCCCTCCGCGTGGACCCAGACAACAGAACCGCCGTGGTCCTCGGCCCTTGCCTGAGGGGTGGTTCACTGCAGAGTCGGAAGGTCGTACTTACTACTACTCTGCATCTGGAAAGACAACATGGGAGCGTCCGACTGTCCCTGCCACACCAGCGGCTTCTACCCCGGGCCAACCCTCGAAGAATCAGCAGAACATGGCATTGCAGAGCATCATTGACGGGATCATGAACGCACAGGAAGACACACCTTCTGAAAATAAGACTGACACTCCAACTTCGCCCCAACCAGCCGATCTTCCAGAGAAGAAGAACAAGGAGGTGGAAAAGTGGCGAAAGCTCCCCTTGGAGAAACAGAAAAAGATATATGAGAATACTGTGAGTATCAGCTTGGAAAAAGGAGCAAATGGGAGTGCACACGGCGCTAACGATTCATCAGCTTTTCCCTCATATCAAGGGTGTGGTTGACCAATACAAACACAAGATTCCGAAGGACGATCTGAAGCGATTTGCAAAAGAGGTAAGAGTCCAATTGCTCTCTCAAATGTATGGAAAGGCTGATTGGTCCGAATCATCAGACTGCAAAGAAGCTTGTGGAAAGTGACTATAAGAAGAACCGCGTAACCGATCCCACTAGGGTTAGCAGCAAGCACCAACAAACCGTGAAAAGCTACTGCAAGGCCTTCTTCGACAAAGCTGCAAGCAAATACGAGACTCGCGAAAAACGCAAGTCCATGAAGTCAGAGGATGCGACTCCAGTTCCTGATGCCGATGCCGAAGTCTTACCATCTCCCGAAGACGAAGACACATCTCTCAAGCGAAAGCGCGAGGGAACCCTGAACATTGACGGCGCAGACGATGGTGACATATCACCTTCCAAACGACAGAAATCCACACCCCCTCCGCCCCCTCCACCACCTCCTCCTGCCGAATCACCAGACGGCGACGGCGATACCAACATGGGGAACACCGACCCATCTCCCAAGGATACCGACGTGAATATGGAGACACCCACCCAGAATCCAGAGACCAGCATCGAGGAATAGGCTCTTAATTGCATTCATACCCAAAAAAGCGAGAAAGGGAATTGAGATTGTGCATTACTTTTTTTTTTGGCTTCTACCGTGTTATTTTCGTGCCATTTTATCTCCTGTGCTCTTAGCTTTTGTCAATACCCCCGAGCCCCAGTGCTTGCCACTATCATAGTTTGCATCCATTCGGCTTCTAGCTTCTGTTTGAACCATTTTTGTACCATAGTCGGAGTAGGTCATATGAACAACTAAGCTCGAGACAAAATTTCCAGGTTGTTTTTTCTTTCCCAGATGAATGGTCCGTTTCCTACTACACCAAGGTATCCAAAACACAAGAGAAAACCTCAAAAAAAGAAATGATCATTTCAGCGTAAAGAAACCCAAGGCTACCAGGGGTACCTAAATCTAGTAGAAACTCTCGACAATGCTGTCCTTATTCACACCAGCAGCACCAGCACCACCGGGAGCCATCTCACCAAGACGGAACACAGACTCCACAACGCTCAGTTCTGTAGCTGTGGTATCCAGACCAGTGATGGCAAGCCAGTCGTTCACGACCATACCGGCACCGACGACCGCGGATCCACGGTTGACACTACCAGCCACAAGAGGCACCTGCAGCAAAGAGGAAAGCTCATCCTGGTCCCGGATGGAGGTCTTGGGGTGCACGATACCACCGGAGTTGGAGAGGGCCATGTACGAGCCTGTTAGGACGTTATCGGCGACTGTCTGACGGAAGACTTCTACGCCGAGAACATCGGCGATGCTGCAGATATATTAGTATTTGTTTCATGTCTGGTGGAGCACAGTTATGGAATCTTACATCTCCTCGGTCTCACGCTCCAGATCGGGGTGCACGATTGCGACATGGTCGTTGCAGCAGATGACGTTTCCGAGCGCCGAAAGACGCTCTTCTATCCGTTGGATTTTCACCGAGTCTGGCAATGTATTGCGCAGATGTTGAAGTTCTTGGTCTGTGGTTGTGGTGGGGACGAGGAGTCCTTTGCGGTTACTGGCGTTTGTGTTAGGATGGGGTTGATTTGGGTGGTTTGGGCTTGTTCGATGTTCACTCACCCGACGACTAGACGACCGACAATTCGGGTACCGGCGATAGTGGCGTGACAGATGGGAATGACATCTTGGAGTTCGGACTCGAAGACACTAGGATTTGGTCAGTTTTTCTGTTATCTGACTTTTTTTCTGTCTTGGCTGAGAGCGTACCTGTAGAAGTTCTCAGATCCACCAACGGCGACAATGGCGTAGGCGTTTGTCAGGCAGGAGAAGACGCCGACCCTAGTGATTTTGTTAGTTGAGAGCCTCTCAAGTCTGCAATGGATTTGCCTACTCGTTGGAGTTCTCGAATTGGGCGCGGACAGCCATCTTTTTTTTTTTTTCAGACTTGTTCTTGGGTAGTGTCCGGAATGGTGGAAGAAAAAAAAAAGACTGCGGTGAGAGCGGGGTAGAGCGGAGCAATGCAGCAGAGCAGAACACCGTATAGTATAAGTAGAATGAGAATGGGGATATCTCGAAAGAACTTTAGAACTGGAGTCCTGATAAATAATTGCGACGTGCGACAGAAAAAGAAGAAAGCTCAGACCAATCAGCTCCTTCTCTGCGTTTGCCCCGCCGGAGCCGCAGAGGCGAGAAGAGGTGGGTTGCAATATTGTACTGGTACTTACTTGTGCGTGTATCACCCAGTACTAAAGGAAGTACCGGTACTTTGCTTCGACTGACTCATTGTGTCTCATGCCGATGATTCATTCGACTTTCTATAGACTCATCTCCTGTCGTTTCAGGCGGGCATTTGTCTCGTATCTGTCGATCTTGGTAATATCTTCGCATTCCTTCTTTATGTAGGTGCTGTTTGGGAGATTATCTCTCTATTTGCTGTCAATTTCATACAGAATCATCCGCAACCAACTGCCAATTTAAGGGATATGACCAATTGGTCAATCTTTCAAGTCAAAACTTCACTACTTAGGACATGATGAGATGCTAATACCAGAGGGTTCCTGTCAAGGGCTATGCTGCAACTCTCAATTACTCCGATTCTCTCATCTCTGCAAAGTACTTCGTCATGAACGATAGATAGTATGTAGCTCAGCTGCCGGTATTAGAAACAGAGGAAAGTGATCAAGTACGCAGGCTCCTGGCCTAAATCATGCCATTTCTCCTTTTGTTTCACTTTGGCTTCCCTACTTAAGTGTACGCGGCAAAAGTACGAGGTCTGTGGACATCCACGATCATGATATAGATCATTCTCTTCTATCAAGGACTCGCCATTTGGGTCTGGTGAGACTCAAGATGCAATCTAACGATCCAAGGTAGCAAACCTCGGCTTTTTGTTATTGAGACATAATAGTCTAGTGTGTCATATAGAATAAAAACTTCGTATTGACTCGCGCGAAAATACAGGTTTAACCACAAACGACATTAAAATCCATTTGGTTTCCGGGGTCATGTCCATCCTTTAGTTATCCTACTGAATACACGGAAGTATAGTTGGGCTCAATTCGCGGGATTAGTGTATACACTTGGGCGGTCAATCTTACACTGTACCATGGTCTTATACGGAGTACATTCAGGACGTATAGACCGATTCTTATTGTATACAGAAGCCCCTAAAGATGTGATACTTAAGTAGAACAGGTTCATAGACGCAACACTTGCGTCCGTTTACATCTACAATGGGAGAAAAGTGCAACTTTGGAACGAGAAACTTCTTCATTCTCTTCGCTCTTCCCGCAAACTAATCACACAAACCGGGAGACAGAATTAGATAAATACATAAAAGCGTGGTATCAAACGGGGCGCTGCAACGAGAAACTAATGGTACAGGTCTAGTACCGGCGCGGGTGTGAGCCCGGCGGCGGCGGGAAATACAAGGAGGACGGGCCTGGTGGTCCATGGCCCGGAGGCCCGTGGCCCTGGGGTGCGTGACCCGGGGGCGGATGACCAGGTCCAGGAGCATGGGTAGGAGGATGGCCAGCGGAAGGGTGACCAGCGGAAGGATGACCAGCTGAAGGATGGCCAGTGGGAGGATGGCCAGTGGGAGGATGGCCAGCGGGAGGATGACTAGGGGATGGATGACCAGCGGAAGGATGGCCAGGTGGGGGCAGATAGCCTGGCATGGGAAGGCGGGCGAAGTTAGAGCCCGGGGGTGGCGGCAGTTGCGGCGGACCGTTCATTGCGAACGGGTCCGGGAGACCCATGGCACGCGCGGGGAGGAGGCGGCGTGGCTGCTGGGTTGGGGTTGGGCGAGGGAGGATCCAAGTTCGGGGGTCTGAGATAGGGCCGAAACTCATCTGGTGCTGCTGCGGCTGCTGCGGCTGCTGGTTATGGTGCTGCTGCTGTTGTTGTTGTGGGATGATACGGTGCGTAGGGTCAGTGCGCATCGTGGGGAGATGGGGAACTGTTGGCTCAGCCAGAGCAGTGTCGGCCAAGATGGAGAGGGCGCGGGGGTCAACGGGGACTTCGACGGTCCCGTCGTAGGAAATGATTTTGCCTGCCGCTTCAGTCTCGGTGATGAATGTTGCTGCATGGAGCATGCTATCGAACGCGGAGTTGGTGACTGTACGTAAAGCTTCCTCGTCGGTGAGCTCGGATGCGACAGAAAGATTGCCCATGCGGACTTTTTGGACGAATTCTTCCCAGCCGTCTACTGCAGCGTCGAAGTCAATCGCCCCTTCTGGGTCTCGGACTGCCTCTGAGGCAAAGCCTCGCTCAACCTGGCGAGCGGCTTTGTCGCCATCACGGTAGAGGAATTTTCTCTCGGATGTTTGAGAGTCTGTTGTATCGGTCTGGTGGCTGTTAGTGTGGGTTGTGTTTGGAGGATTCGAGTTTTCATACCTCTGTGTGTTCATCATCCTCGGCAATCTTGCGACCTTGAATCAATGCCATCACTTTGCCCATAAGCATTGTGGTCATGTCGTCTTGAACTTCTTCCATAAGACGCTGTTTCACACAAATGTCAGATACATGCAGATCAGATTGATGCATGTTAAACTTACCTCTGCCGTATTTTTAATAATATGAAGCTCGCTGTCACGCTTCTGGATCTGCAACGCAGTTTGGTACTTGTGCTCGGCCGTAATCCTATCAATTGCCCTGCGCTCATACTCGTCCAGTTCCTGCTGAACTTGAGCGAATTCAGGACATTCCTTGTGGGCATTTTTATCGCGGGCAAGTTTCTGCAAATTTTGTTCGGCAATTACGCTCAGCGCAATCTGCTGTGCGTGGCCCACTTTCTTGAACAACATTGATAGTTCATCCTGGCGATCTTTCGTTTGTTGCGATTCTGGAGTGGGCGACGGAGTAGGACCACGCCAGTTCTCGGAGTCCCAGATTTCATCTTCAATCTTCTTTCCACGCTTCACAATAGTGGTCTGCTTAGCTCGGCCACGCCCTCGGCCTCCGCGGGGCTTTGTGACTGCTGAGCGGATTGGGCCAACAAACCCACCACGGCTGCCACGACCCCGGCCCCGTCCACGACCTCGGCCGCGACCACCACGACTTCCTCGACCTCCACGGCCGCCTCGAACAGCGGGCGGGAAGCTCGGTGGATCGTATTCCTCGGAAGGAATGGGAATGTCCTCAGGGGATGTTTCGTTTTGTGTATCAATTTCTGTGCCATTCTGCATAGGACTGTCTGGTGTATCTTCGGGTTCAGTGTCATCATTGCGGGCCTTTTTGTTGGCCACGTCCTCGGAGTCAACTTCCGGTGTCTCGCCTGTCATTTCGATGGACTTGCGCTTGCGCGAAAGTCGGGGTGTTGAGACAGCGCTGAAGGGTGCCTGTTCATAATCGGGGAATTTGATATTTTCTGCAGGAGTCTCATCCTTGGCTTTGGCAGGTTCAGATAAATCATGGGGCAATTCATCAGACAGCTCATCAGCAGTGCCAAGTCGACCGGCTGAAGGGGACGCGGGGGCAGAAGCAATCATGCGAGGTTCAGGTGATTGCGAGGTTTTTGAGATGGGAGGTTCGGACTTGTAGTCCTCGTAATGTTGGGAATCATCCATGTCAACATCTTGCTGACTGAACTCGGGCTCGCCAACTTTGGTCGGGGAGACATCTTCTGAGAAGGTGCCATCATCATTAGGCTTCAATCTGGCCGATTGCCGAGTAGTCCGTGAAGACTCGGGCACAGGCCTTGACTGCCGGGGGCGCCGCGTGCGTGGAGTGTGTGGAGTTTGCGGGACATTCGATGCCCTTTCATCCACATCGGTGTCGACAGAATTAGACCGTTCCAACGAGTACAATGAAGGAACTCTTAATTTAACAATTAGTGACCGGCGCTCTGTTGGCGCTTCAATGCTTGATGGAAGACGACCAGGCAGGCTGGAGCGGCCACGACCGCGACCACGACCTCTGCCGCGACCTCTGCCGCGGGTAGGAGTGGCAGCAAGAACCTCTATACATGGATGAGCTATTGCACCGACAGCGAGGTGGGTGAACCTACCTGGGACTGTGCGCCCTGAACGCGTTGAGATGCTGGGAGTACGGACGGCAGGCTGTGCCGCCGCACGATTTTTTCTTCTTCCCACCATCGCTGTTGTCTTTGGAAGAAATTAGCGTTGAGAACGGGGAAAAATCCAGGTAGCAGCAAGGGGGTGCGGAGAGAGAGACACGGTTACGACATGGGAAAATTGCACCGCACATCGAAAGCGTCACAGGGGAATGAGATGGTGATTCAAATCATTTGCAATTTGCAATGATATAGTACAAGGGAGGGAACAAGGGTGAAGGGAGCCGGGGTGACGAGCAGGTAGAACGGGAAAAAGAGAATGAGAGAATGAGAGAATACAGTCGCGACAGTAGGACCAACGTCGAGTACAGCGCAGAAAAAGTAAGGCTTGGCAGAGGAAACAATACAAGATGCAGAACAGGACAGAACACGCGATCAACAGTGTGAAATCAGCATGGGGAAGACAGTGTTTTAGAGGCGTGGCGCGTAGAAACAACAGATCCAAGGTAATAGACACAGCAGCAGATGAAGATCATGACGATCACGATGAAGACTTACCGGGGTAAAAAGCGATGGAAAGAGGTGTAGTAGAGCAGGATTTGACCGGGTGGATGGGGAAAACGGGAATGTAAAAAAAATGGGGGCGGAAGCCGGAGGGGACAGTGTAGCAGAAAGAGAATGGAAACAGGCGAACTTTAGAACACTAGTTCTTAGATCCCGACGAGATCGAAAGAAAAGAAAGGTAAAAAAAAAGAAAAAGGCGTAGAGAGAGAAGAGGAGAAGAAGGGAAAAACGGCCAAAACAGTGGATGATTAGCTGAGAACCTTTTCCCGTCTCATAGTGATAGACCAGGAGAATACGAATACTGTCTATAGAGCTCACCTTCTATTGAATACTCACTGAAGCTTGAATACAGACTGAACAGAATATGACATACTCCATTCATCGCTTTTGATGCCCATTCAGCTCTTCTCGGTGATTTGGCTCTGACGTGTAGGCACGCCATTATAGCTCAATAGAGCCACAATAGGACAAGATCAATCAGGCCTCAACTTGAGAATACGATACCTAGATACTCGCTGAATTCAGTCTATTCTATTCTACTCCGTACTTCCCAGTTCTCTATACTGTTCCATGCCCATACCATAGATCCTTGCGTGTATGTGCATCTCCGATCCCCAGCCACTTCCGGCACACAGATACCGGGTCATTTGACAGCCCGTGAGGCTTTCGACTTGGTCTGATTGCTCTCTTGGAGATTGTAGAATAAACACGAGATTCCGCTTATGTTCTCCATTTATCTATATTCCTCCAAGTACCACGCGTACCTAGGTATTCTCCTATTATCAGACAAGAAAAAAAAAATAAGGATGTTCCACCGACCCACTTAGCCTTAGAGTCGGTGACAACGAATGCGGACGTTGTAACATTGACCTCGCCATTGGCTCACAGTATGTACGAAGACGCAATACTAAGTAGAGTATGTAATTCTGATTGTACTTCAAACGGAAAATAAAATTGCAATGCCACTCGGATATACCCATTAACCCCAGTCCCAAGCCGACCCTCCCCAAGGTCTCATTCCTATGTACATTCCAAACATATATAACGCAAAGCTCAACGCAAAATAGCAAAGTCAAACAAAATCCATAATTCAAAGAGTTGCAAGGTTTCAAAATCAAAGCGCAAAAAAACATAACAAGTCATATAAAGGGTATGCCGATGGCATCCCTCATTTTTCGTAAGGGGATTCGTTCAAGTCATATCGCACACTCTTCCTCTCCTCTAGCGGCGAGGGTGTCCTACTCTCCCGCAGCGACCGTGCAGAGCGCATGCGAGTGATCGTACCGGCCGGGATGGTTTGACCGGCCGAAGGAGAGGCCTTGACAACGGTGCCCGGGTTCAAGGTGGGCGATGGACAAGGGCTGTTGGAGCGGAAGAGAGGGTGGATGTTGTTTTCGCGGAAAGGATTGTACTCCCAGGTTGAGTTGGGGTTTGAGACGGGTTTTGTAGTTGGAGAATCGATAAGAGTGGATGATGGTGAGGGTAGTGGGCGCACAGTGCTGTCTAGAGAGAGTGGTGTGGGGGCATTGCGGCGAGAACTGGACATGCTGCGAATGCTGGTGCTGCCGCGGAGGGGTCGAGCTGGAGGTGTCTTGTCTGTTGGGGATGGGGGTGAATGTGTACATGTGGTATCAATGGAAGTATTTTTGGTTTCGGATTTTTCATATGGGCAGAGTGTTGCGTCGGAGTAACGGCTGGAGCGCCGGGGAAATTTGCGAAGTGACGTTCGCTTGGGTTCGAATAGTTCGGAGAGATCGCAGACTCGTGGTGGTGTTGGGAGAAGCTTGGGGCTCTCAGGCATGTCTTTGAGCTCGTGGCTGTAGGATCGTGGCCATTCGAGGTTGGACTGGACTTGAAAGAGGGTCGTGGTGATGTATCCACAGTAGAGGCCTTGAATAAAGACTGATAGAGCCCAGAAGACAGATCGAGCCACGAACACAGTGCCTTGAGGACTCATTGCCATTGCCCCGGCTGATGAAACCGCGGCGATGAGTAGATACCCACCGGTTAGATAAGTGCAGAGGACACGGCCTGTCTGGATGTTCTTGTGATGCAGTAGACCAAGAGTGATCAGAGCCAGACACCCCATTGCACTAAGGATAATTGTGACCACATCAGCGGAGGCTTGTGAAGTTGCAAAACAGATTCCATTCAGGATGGTGACAATGAATGTTGAGAGCAATGAGGCTCCCGCTAGTGTGTATGGTAAAGACGGCATGCTGGACAAGATGAAATGCAAAGAGAGAGTTGACAAAGAGCGACCTTGTACAACGTATAAAGAGGGTGGTTGATGTCAAACGTTGGCAGACTGCCAATCCAAGACGTACGCCAATGCAGGCAATGAGTGTGAAGGTGCTGCAGACCTGAGAGGGAACCACGGGAGTATTTATCTGGCACGTACTCGACATATTGGGTTCGCACACACGGGACGGGGCGCTGCACTCTCAGCGTGGCTCAAAGTATATCGGCCGGGGAAGTAGTCCGTCTGAACCTGTCACTTTTTGCCCAAAGGATCGAAAGATCGGTCTGATCCATCAGGCCGGTATGATTAAATTGTGTGATTTAGACGAACGGGGTAAGACTGGAGCTCAATCGATTGGCTGCGGAAAAGAAACGCCGTGGCCCAGGCTGCATAAAGTGCCTGGATATTGACAAATGTCGTGTTCCAAGCAATTAGAGGCGAGAGCATTGTGCCTTTGCCCAGCAGTTCCGATAGTTTGGTCAATCGCCCGAACAATGGCACTTTATTTCTGATCTGTCAGTCGTGTGGATCGATTTCCCAGCTCCCTGGGACTAGAGCTGGCGGATCCTCCCACCCGATCTCAATAGTGCTGTTCAAATGTGATCTATCCGTCCCCCTTACCAGAAGAGGGAAAAAAAGCTCCGGTGTCCCCTGAAATCTTGGGTTCACAAGAGATTTCAGATTGCACTACTCGTACTCTGTACAAATGTACAAAGATACGTATGGGGGCACTCCATAATTCCATTGAAGATTTGAGATTCCCAAACTCCGTCTAGAACGTCGGTGTGAGGGTCTGTGCGTTGTTCATTTGGCTGCAAAAAGCCCATGTACGAAGTAGAATTACATCGAAAAAGAAAAGAGAAGAGTCTTGAGTGACACTGGGGTCGCTGGATAGATTCGGTGCAACAATTGACAGTCTCGATTTATAACACAGTCTTAAAGTTTGAAGTGACAGAATCTACTCCATACTCATTGTACCTAGAGATCCTTTTTATCCAGCACAATTGCAGAATACTAAACGGAGAACTCCGTAGATTTTTACTAGTGATATGAAAAGAGGAGCCACAATGTCTATCCTGGGGGTTTGAGGCTGGGGAATTTTTGAATTTTTTTTTCGCAAAAAAAAAAGTACGAAGTACGGAGTAGTTCTGATGAAGTTGTTGATCACCTAAGTGAACAAGGGATGGCTATGGCAAACGATTGTAGCTAAACTAATGAATTAGAGTAAATACTCAAAGATCCACTCGACATACGGAGAAAGAGACACAAGATATCATCATCAATATCGATTTTGGTTGGTTTGCAGTGAGCTTCAGCTCTAGGATTGGCTTAAAAAATGTTATGAGTACGGAGTATGTACTCGTACTCCGTATCAGTGTGGATTACAACTTTAGAAGGAGAAAGCGGAATCCTTCACGAGGCATGCGGATGCAAGGACTCCTCTATTCACGCCCACGTTGAACTACGAATAGACCTCTGGGCCCTTTCCACAATGTACTCGTACATACAAAGCTTCGACCAGGCCGGGGTACACATGTATGCACCGAATGAACCAAAGCCACAGTACGGAGTACCCCATAGTTACTTCTACAAGCGTCAATTGTCAACCTTGACATCTGCATCTCTGGCCAATGCATTCGGGGATATCCTGGGGAAAATGATTCCTAACTATACGAAGTACTCCGTAGGGGTATGAAGTAACCAACGGCATCAATTCAATTTCCGCGCCCTTTTGGGTTCTCATATGCAATAATTTATCGTGTGGGACAATAGGTACTGTGAACACGGTCCACCTGAGGCAATGGCGCTCGATCCTGCATATTGAGGATCAACCTGGTCAAATCGGGAAGTCCTCGAAATAGATTTGATGTCATCGGGACTCTCTGGAACGTTAGATCTGCGTCTCCCATCAATTGACTGCGTCTGCCTGATGTAGGCTGCAGGTTAGGGGAGCGAACGGTACTCCGTACGGAGTGCTCCGTACAACAAGGCACCTGCAAGGACTGACGTGCCCACTCAGGAACATTGATGAAGCTCAGGCTTACTCCGTAGAAAGACAAGACTTGTACGGCGTAGACGGAGTAGAGAATAATCGCTTGAAATACGGAGTAGATGTGAGCAATGCGTACCTGGAGATGAAGGCGGTCAATCCGTGCCACCGCCCGCACTCGTTTGCTGCATCATCGTCACTCTATCGGCTCCCCTCGTCTCTTTTCTTCTTCCTTCTTCGACTTCAACGGGAAGATCCACTTTGTCAACCTCGGTTTTTTCTCCCCTTCTCTATCCGTCGCCTCTCTCCTTCGCTTTACCCTTGATCTTACACAAAAGCGGCAAAATGAAGCTCACTTTCAAGGTACGAAAACTTGCCCTTGGGTCCCCACTTTAAGCACTTGGAGTTGACAATTATCGCCTGTAGGATCTGAAGCAGGAGAAGTTCGTCATCGATGTCGAACCTTCTGAGACTGTATGTGCTTCCCTTAGCTGTGCTCAACGTCATCGGGTGCGGGGCTCATCTCTCTAGGTTCGCGAGGTCAAGGCCAAGATCGCTCAAGAAAAGGGCGAATATGAAGCAGAGCGCATGAAGGTCATCTACTCTGGTACGATTCACCATCACTTGATAAGCACACCCAATCGTGCATTTTCAGGGCCTTGACTGACCGTTGATTTTCACTCAATGTAGGAAAGATTCTTCAGGATGACAAGACAGTTGAATCTTACAACATCCAAGAAAAGGACTTCCTAGTCTGCTTACCTCAAAAGGTATGATCTCCAGTCTGATATGGGCGTATTAATCGATCCTAGAATGAGAGCTGACCAACTCAGCAACCCAAGGCCCCCGCCGCCTCCTCTCAACCCCCCGCTACTCCAGCTGCCCGAGCCCCTGCATCGACCCCCGCTGCTCCTCCAGCTCCCCAGGCTGCATCTGCCCCACCCCCAGCTGCTGCTCCCGCAACACCGTCCCCAGCCGGCGCTGCCCAATCTGGACCTGCGTTCGGTGACCCCTCGACCTTGGCCATGGGCTCCGCTGCTGAGGGCGCAGTTGTGCAGATGGAGGCTATGGGTTTCGCCCGCACTGACATTGATCGCGCCATGCGCGCTGCATTCTATAACCCTGACCGTGCCATTGAATATCTTCTGACCGTAAGCTTTTGGTGATGTCCTCCACTTTGGAATGCCTGCTCACAACTACAGGGAATCCCCGATAACATCCAGGAGCAACAGCAACAACAACAGCAACAAGCTGAACAGCCCGCTTCTACGGGTGCCCCCGCTGCTACTGGTGGCGAGGAGCCCCTCAACCTCTTCGAGGCTGCTGCCCAAGCCGGTGGTGAGGGTGGTCGGCCCCGTGGTGCAGGTGCCGCAGGTGCTGGTGCCGGTGCCGGTGCCGCTGGGGGTGAAGCTCTCGGCAGCCTCGAGTTCCTTCGCAGCAATCCCCACTTCCAGCAGCTCCGTCAGCTAGTCCAACAACAGCCCCACATGCTCGAGCCTATTTTGCAGCAGGTTGCTGCCGGAAACCCTCAGATTGCTTCGATCATCGGTCAGAACTCTGATCAGTTCCTGCAACTTTTGGGCGAGGAACTTGAGGATGATGAAGAGGGTGCCCTGCCCCCTGGTGCACAGGCTATCTCCGTGACAGAAGAAGAACGCGATGCGATTGAACGTGTATGTCTCTCATACTTTGAACATTGAAATTGAGCTAACAAATTCCAGCTTTGCCGTCTCGGATTCCCTCGCGACTCGGTCATCCAGGCATACTTTGCTTGCGACAAGAACGAGGAGTTGGCAGCCAACTTCCTCTTTGACCAACCTGATGAGGATGAAGAGTAAAGCGAAGAGTCATGAGCAAAATCTTCTCCTTATCTCCTCTAACCTCTAAGATCTTTATCTTACCTTATGTTCTGTGATGAATACCAAGCATGCTGTTTGAATTGATTCCCATCTCTCCTATACCTTCGAATACGACAGTGCTCCGCCCCGAGTTTGTTGCTGTGGACTTGGCTCCGTCCATCTCTCGTGTATCTACCTAATGGGCAAAATGGGACCTGTTCACTGCACTCAAAATGTAGTTGTAGATTTCAAGCATCCGGATATTCCCTATATTTTCAGACAGTCGGGAAGGTGGTCATCTGGTTGGTTTTTCGATGTGATCATGCGTTATACTTTGGTACATGCGGGTGGTCTCTTGACTCGCAGATCGTCGGCTGGGATATATTTTTGTAATACAACGTAAACTTCAGAATACAAAGGGTTCAGATCTCTCGAGCAACACCTAAACCTCCAGGGTTACCTACTTCTAAAGTTCTAAGTTCTGAAAATTAAGTGCGTACTTAAGTACTTTTGGTTCCGCAATAATCTGTACTCCGTAGCTTGATCGACATGAGATATGCATGTCAGCTTCCAAGATTATGTTCACGCATGACACCCGTGCACTCATATCACTGCTCAAGTGGTACTTGAATGCCGAATTAGCCCACTCACTTGAGCACCTGGACACGGGCCGCAGTTGATACTCCAAGGCTAAATAGCTGGAATACACATGTCAATTAGAGTGAACAAACTATGTTTTTCTAAAGTTGGGTACAATTATATCTGCATATTAAAAAGGTCATGGAAATACTGTGTAAGAACATAAAATATCTCGATTTTCGCTCAATGCAAAATGGGGGTATATGGCCCTTTCCCGTAACCCTAACCCAATACACCAACATGTAAAAGAAAACAAACATTGCAATATGCTTCTCCATAGATGAAGAACCAAACCCTCCCAACACCGAATTCAAAAGCCATGCAAACTAATTACAAGACCGATGAACGGCCCAAACACCTAATCCACGTCTTCCCACCACGCGTTTCAGCGTCGGCAGGACCCCATCTTCCGCGAAATCCATATCATCCAGATTGAGATGATTGCGATACGACCATAGTGGCTTAAGCTGGAGGTTTTTCTCCTGACCAAGGTAGTCATCTAGGAATTCTGCCGAGGTAGGCGCAACAAGGTATGTGTATGTAGATGGCCGGAGACCGCATTCAGGCACAGACAGGTTAAGATTGTGCATCATTTCTTGGCCCGGTGAGCCCATCAGGTCGTGAGTCGTGATTTGGGAATTGCTGCCCAACAGCCAGAGGGGTGGAGAGTAAGTCTTCCACCAGAAGACCGTTGCGGGGGCGAAGGCAATGCCGGGCATAGCCAGTTGGGTGGGGACTACGCCGCCTTGGTGGTAGACGCCCATGAGGAAGCCCATGGTAGCGTTGAAGATGATCCAGACTGTGAGCAACAAAGGCTTTTTGATCTGGATGCAGCTTAGGAGGAGAGGGACACAGGGGAGGAGGAAGCGTGATTCCTGATGAGGGAAGAGGGAGAGGAGGGCTGTTGCTGAGAAGGCGGAGAGGGCGCGAATATTGCGCATGGGTTTGCTGAAGAGGGAGAGGAGCATGACTATGTAGGCTGGGCCGAGGAGTTGGAAGAGGTTGGCTGTGAAGTGCTGGTAGTGAGGGTGAAGGCCGTGCTGAGCTAGGTTTGAGGTGCTGCTGTTGTAGAGCAGATTGTTGAGCGGGGTGATGATAGGGTTGCGGAAAATCTCAAGTAAGCTTGATGTTGGCCGATAGAAAGCTGTGTCTGTGGCGATTGCTATGGCAGAGAAGAGCAGACCGAAGATGACGAATGCCGCGAGGGAGGTTGGTCTGTTGCGATTAGGAGGGGTTTGTGGGGGAAGTGGTATGATTGAACGTACTTGCGCTGGAAATGAGGAAGCAATTGTAGGCCCGGGATTATCAGGAAGGCTGGGAAGGTGATGCGGTTGAAGACGCCCACTACGGCGATAAAGGCGAGGACAGCATGAGAGAAGAAGGACGAGCGTCGCTGATAAGAAAGTTAGATGGAATGGCTCGTGCTTGAGCTCTGGGATCGCACCTTATTTTCCACAATGCGTCGAATCAGCACCAGCCCCCAGGCCACCAACAGCGTCTCCAGGGAGTTGGAGAAGGTGTGCGTCTGATATGTCCAGGTGACATAGGACGAGGCCACTAGCACCACCGTTGCGCGGCGGTGGCGCGGGGAAGGGACTAGTTCGTAGATCGCCCAGTCTTCCAGCACAAAGCTCAACAAAAACATTCCACCACGCAACACATAGTAGACAAGGTGTGGGGGTGGGCTGCCGGGCCCGGTCTCGGTATAAAACCATTGCAAGAGGCTCATGGGCAGCTCATATGTCGCCCATAGTGGAAATATACTGCGAATGGGATTCTCCACCGTAAATTCCCATGGTAATTTGGAGGGATATGAAAATATGCGACCTGTTCAGGCGATCCGGTCAGTTTGTTTTGTTTTGTATACGAGGCATGGCGCGGGACAGCCGGGTTGCGATTTTTTTTGAATTGGGGATTTTTTTCCGAAATCGCGATAGTCATTGAAGCGCGTCATGCCGGTCGCAAGTGATACTTTAGGCGATTTCCGGTCTTTAAAACTCATTCAGACATACCTGCGAAGACTTCTGGACCCTGGAAGTTCTCATCGGGGTGTAGATAGCTGGGTGATAGCGCAAAGTACACGCGAATCAGCAATAGTAAGAGATATGCTCGTCGCCACATCGTTCCACAGGAACATCATTAGATATTAAGAATATGCAAGAAAAGAAAGTGTGCGAAAGAAGGAAAAAAAAGAAAGGAGTGGAAGGGGGGGGGCCGCTAAAGTGAACAGCAAGACGCGTATCTTCCGATGATATCAGAGGTCCCGCTTCAGCTGAAGCATACAAAAGTATTTCCCTCTTTCATTGATGATTTTTAATATTGTGATATCGCCACTCTTTGTAAAGCAATTCCATTGCAATTACTATTGCTATAATCCATATGTTTGTCTTTCATAAATATTATTTGTGCGCTGTTACGCTCTTTGACTAGCATGGTGTGGTGTACTATATGGTGGACTAGACCCGGAATCGATAGATCGACCACAAAGAAGCACAGATCACGCATCTCGAAACGTCTAAGGTATTACTCCGTACGGAGTACTCTATATGGATAAACTACGAGTACAAAGTATAACACGTAGCCATTTGACACGACTCCTTGAGGATTAGGGCTTTGTTTAAGGCCCTTTGCGACTGCAAGCCTCTCCACCCCAGGCTTCCATGTTGCTGGAGGAAAACCTTTAAGGATAGACAACACAATGACTCGACACATAGAAAAAGAAAACCTCCCAAGTCGTAGAAAATAGGCAGAACATGTGGGGGCAAAAACGAGCTGCTTGTGCTGCCTGAGAGATGCCTTAGTAATCGGTTTCAAGCGTGCACCTGTGGACCTCACCCGCCGCCGCCTTTGATCACTTCCACTTCCACTTTCGCGTTACGTCCAGCTTCTTCCATACATTCCGGAAACAGACGTCTCTTTTTCTTCTTCACCTTTCACACTATTCTCTAGTGGGCACATATCCCTACTCCAACTAGCAAACCAGACACCTGATTTCACCATGAGCGCCATCACCCTCACCAGTTCCGATGGCATTGAAATGAGTGTCGGTAAGTTGAGTCACCTTCCACCGAAAAGCCACCGACTGACTTTATGTAGACCGCACCACTGCGGAGCGATCCGTCCTCATCAAGAACATGCTCGATGACCTTGGTGATTCTGGTGACGCTGTGCCCCTCCCCAATGTGAGTTTCCGCCGCAGCGCCATATCAAAATCAACAAGCTGACATTGCTATCCAGGTCAACGAGGCTGTCTTGAAGAAGGTGATTGAGTGGTGCGAGCACCACAAGAACGACCCTCCCTCTGCGAGCGATGATGACGACAACCGCCGCAAAACCACTGATATCGACGAGTGGGACCAGAAGTTCATGCAGGTGGACCAGGAGATGCTTTTCGAAATCATTCTCGTATGTCCATGAGCCTCTTTGGCTTTGTTTGATTACTTGCTAATCACCCCCCAGGCTGCCAACTACCTCGATATCAAGGCTCTTCTCGATGTTGGCTGCAAGACCGTGGCCAACATGATCAAGGGAAAGTCCCCCGAGGAGATTCGCAAGACATTCAACATTCAGAATGACTTCACCCCCGAGGAGGAGGATCAGATTCGCCGGGAGAATGAGTGGGCCGAGGAGTAAGTCCTTTTAACCTCCTACACGGGCGTTGTTCCATGCTAACGTTGAACAGCCGCTAAATCACTCACTCCCTTTGCTTTTCAAAAATGGAATGATATCCCTTCGCTGTAACGACCGTCTCCGGATTCGAGATCACCATCACGACAAGGCGTCGGCCTTTGTTCTTTTTCGTCTGTCCCTTTCCGCGTTGCTTCTAGTTGATTAAATAACGAGTGCTTGGTCTTGAGTGACCACAATACCGAATTACGACATTTTTTTTTTTTTGGTTTCCTGGGCATCGAAAGGCGGGGTTCACTAGATGAGGCTCGTTACGGCTATGACGACACATCACCCCCCGTATTCCAGTAACTCAAGTAGATCGAACAGCTGAAGTGCTGGCAATGCACTTAATACGTAGAACAGCTTGACGGACACGAACACGAACACGCAGGTCTACAACCAACAGGCAGGGTATCCAATTCGAATCCATAAATTTTGTATCAAAAAGAGAAAAAAAAAAATCCCCATGCCGTCCTACAAGCCCGCCCGAAGACGAGCACCCGACACCGCAGACAAGGGCCTTGGAGGAACTCCGCTCGGAAACTGCGAAGAAGCCATCTTAAATAAAAGCACGACGGACCCGGATTGAAATGTAAATTTTTTTGTCTGCAACTCAAGAGTAGTTCCACATCGACTAGCGCTCTCAGATATCGAAGAATTCCGGTGTGGGCGTCACGTCATCAAGGTTCGAAAACCTATACACCCCGCGTAGACATTGCTGAACAGTTTGAGGATGGCCGGACGAGGTGATCTGAGGGCCTCTTAGACCTTCAGGGTAGACTTGCGCCAGTGGCGACGCTTGGCGTTGTATCTGGACATATTGCATCAGCCATTGTTCCACCTCTGTATTTCCCAAGCAGCCCGATCGGCTGGTCTATGCGGTCGTTCCGGTTCTCCTGCTGTCCCCTTCTCTCTCGCATAGACGGCCCCAATCCTGGGCTTGGTTGGAATTTTGCTTGGATCTCGGTGTGATTTACCTGATGGTGTTGCCGGTGCGCAGGCGAATCCACTGGGGGATGGGGCGGTTCTGGCGCTGAGCCTTGGCAAGCTTTTGCTTGGTGCGGAAGGTCTTGTGGCTCTGTTGAAGAAACGATGGGTTAGAAATTTAGTTCGACATCAAGATTTTTCATATCTCGTTTTGAATATGATGGCGACGGGGTGACGACGAGGACGGTATAGGTGACGGTGAATTTCGAGATGAGGTGCACATACCGGCATCTTGAAGGTTGATCGCGACGGCGAGCTTGTTGGATGGACGGATGAAATGGTCGACCTTCAGGTGTGGATGATTTGTGTGCGGCAGGGCTTGGCTTCGCTTCGGTTGGGTCAGGTGATGTCAGGCGGTAAGGCAACGAGGCAACAAGAATGTTCTGCCTGGATGACTTAATGCTTTACCGCCTTGATATCACAAATTAGGCCCCACGGCAATTCCACCCCCTAGGCTTGGAAGGCGCTCCGCAGCCTCAAATGGAGTATTAATCTGAGTCAGGGTGATTCACGCTGACCTGGACACCATGGACCTGGATTACAAGCATTTTTCAAGTCGCGGACTCGCCACTTGACCTACGGTGAAGCATGCTCACTACGAGTACACTGCACATCATACATTAGGCTACAGATTGAACGGACATCGGGGCTTCCGATAGCCGATCGCATAAAAATACGCACGGGCGAATGTTCCAGAGCTCCATCAAATTGATCCGGAGGCTCGAAAAGATATAATCGTGGAGACGTAACTGGTGGATCGCATTTAGGCGGATTTTGTGAAGTGTACCCTGGCGAATTCAATGCCTAGATAAGCATGGCCGGACTCCGAAGGACGAAGATTCGGTCGAAGTCTTGCAAAAGGTGACTCAATTACCCACTTCGTATTCGTTCCCGCGTTCGGGAGGCGTTTCAAGGCTCGGTTCCATCTTTATGTGTCTGATGTACGAATTACTCGTATGTACACATTATTCTAGTACTCGTAGTATGTACTCTGTATAGCTAAATTCCATGGATAATCAATGTGTTTCAATCATGCAATTGGAGTACTTAAGTATAAAATGCGCTTTTAGAATTTAGAGATCTAAACTCGTACATTTTACTCACAAGCTTTTAATAACTCTGTCACAGGCCCGCCTTAAAAAAAAGAAAAGGTCCAAAAATGGAAGACAGTCAGGCCAAGTGTAGGTCGTGCATAAGCATAAAGCGGAGCCTTGCGGTCCCGAGACCGATAGAAAAATTAAAGACTCGGAGTAAAGACGCGGACAAGGTCATATTAGAATCACCTAACCCCCCTCATCGTTACCCCCTTTAATACTGTCACCTAATTCTTTTAATATTCATTTTTTATTTAACATAATACCTTCTACCGTCGACCTTTTCTGGATTCTTAATCTCTCTATCCTCTCTCTAACCCCCGGATTCTTTTCCTTTCGCTCTATGGAGTAAAGATCACCAACTGTGGGACTCATCTTCACACTGCACGATGCAACAACCGGAGGAGAGTGTTACTGCTGTTGAGAAGGTAGTGGAAGAGCCTCACTTTGCAGAGAAGACGAAGCGTGACGTCGACTCAAGCTCTACATCAACCGCCAAGGAACATGAAACCAAGACTGAGATTCCATCAGAAGATGATGCGCTCTATGCTCACCTACCCCCACACGAAAGGGACATCTTGAAAAGACAGCTCGATGCACCTCCCAGGCCTATATCCTTTTTCGGCCTCTATCGATATGCCTCCCACATTGATATCTTAATCCTGGTGGTCAGCACACTCTGCGCCATGGCGGCCGGTGCCGCATTGCCTCTTTTTACCATCCTATTCGGATCGCTGGCCACTTCTTTCCAAAAAATCATGCAAGATACCGTCAGCTATGATTCATTCTACCACGATCTCACCAAGAATGTCCTCTACTTCGTATACCTCGGCATCGGCGAGTTCGTCACTGTCTACATCAGCACCGTCGGCTTCATCTACACTGGTGAACACATCACGCAAAAGATCCGCGAGAACTACCTTCAAGCAATCCTGCGTCAGAATATTGCTTACTTTGACAAGCTTGGTGCCGGTGAAGTCACAACCCGCATCACTGCGGATACCAACCTTATCCAGGATGGTATCTCCGAGAAGGTGGGCCTGACGCTGACTGCTCTTGCTACTTTTGTCACCGCGTTCATCGTCGCTTATATCAAGTATGCTCCTCTGGCCGGTATCTGTACCTCTACCATCGTTGCGCTGGTCGTGATTATGGGTGGAGGTTCACGCTTCATTGTCAAGTTCAGCAAGCTGTCCCTGGAGAGCTACGGTGCCGGTGGTACTGTGGCAGAGGAAGTCATCAGTTCGATTCGCAATGCGACCGCATTCGGCACTCAGGAAAAGCTTGCACAGCAGTACGAGGTCCATCTGGCCAAGGCTGAGCGCTGGGGTATGCGTTTGCAAATGGCCCTTGGCGTCATGGTTGGCGGCATGATGGGTATCATGTTTTTGAATTACGGTCTGGGATTCTGGATGGGATCCCGCTTCCTGGTGCAGCACAAGGTGGACGTTGGCCATGTGCTGACGATTCTGATGGCTATTCTCATTGGATCTTTCGCCTTGGGTAACGTGAGCCCGAACGGTCAGGCTTTCACTAATGCCGTTGCCGCGGCTGCCAAGATCTTCGCTACAATCGACCGTACATCCCCTCTGGATCCTACCTCCGACGAAGGCATCATTCTTGATCACGTTGAAGGCCATATCGAGTTCAAAAATGTGAAACACATCTACCCCTCTCGCCCTGAAGTGACTATCATGCAGGATGTCTCACTCGCCATGCCTGCTGGAAAAACAACTGCATTGGTCGGTCCCTCAGGCTCTGGAAAGAGTACCGTGGTGGGTCTAGTCGAGCGCTTCTACCTACCTGTCGGTGGCCAGGTTTTCTTGGATGGTCATGATATCCAGACTCTCAATCTTCGCTGGTTGCGCCAGCAGATCTCGCTGGTCAGCCAGGAGCCTGTTCTATTCGGTACATCTATCTTCAAGAACATTCGTCACGGACTGATCGGAACACGCTTCGAAAACGAGTCGGAGGAAAAGATTAAGGAGCTCGTGGAGACTGCTGCCAAGATGGCTAACGCCCACGAGTTTATCTCCGTCCTCCCGGAAGGCTATGAGACCAATGTCGGACAGCGTGGTTTCCTTCTTTCTGGTGGCCAGAAGCAACGTATCGCTATTGCTCGTGCTGTTGTCAGTGACCCCAAGATCCTGCTCCTGGATGAAGCCACGTCCGCCCTGGATACCAAGTCGGAGGGTGTTGTCCAAGCAGCGCTGGATCGTGCTGCAGAGGGCCGCACCACCATCGTCATTGCCCATCGTCTCTCAACCATCAAGACCGCGCACAACATTGTCGTCTTTGTCAACGGTCAAATTGTTGAGCAGGGAACTCATAGCGACTTGACTGAACACGACGGACCATACTACAAGCTGGTTGAGGCCCAACGTATTAATGAGGAGAAGGAGGCCGACGCACTCGACGGCGACGACGAGGACAGCGCTGAACAAATGACCAAGTCTCACATCGCCCGCGTCAAGTCTATGGGAAGTGAATCGACCAGGAATGAAAACGAGGCTTTCGCAGATAACATGCAGCGCCGGGAGTCGCGCAAGTCGATCTCAAGCGCTGTCCTCTCGAAGCCAAATGCGGAAGGCACAAGCAAATACTCTCTTCTCACATTGATCCGGTTCATTGGCTCTTTCAATAAAGAGGAATGGTACTACATGGTCATCGGTCTTTGCTTCTCGATCCTCGCTGGTTGCGGCCAACCTACCCAGGCTTTCTTGTACGCCAAAGCTATCAATGCTTTATCCTTGCCGGAGAGTATGTGGGGCAAATTGCGATCGGACGCCAACTTCTGGTCTCTGATGTTCTTTGTCGTCGGTATCGTCCAGTTCATCACCTTCTCCATCCACGGTGTTACCTTTGCGTACACCTCCGAGCGATTGATCCGTAAGGCTCGCAGCAAGGCTTTCCGTGTTATCCTTCGTCAAGACATCGACTTTTTCGATCGTGAAGAGAACAGCACTGGTGCTTTGACTTCATTCCTGTCCACTGAAACCAAGCACTTGTCTGGTATCAGTGGTCAGACCCTTGGAACAATTCTGATGTGCTCCACCACCCTGATCGCTGCCATTGTCATTTCTCTGTCCTTTGGATGGAAGCTCGCCCTTGTTTGTATCTCTGTCGTCCCGGTTCTTCTTGGCTGTGGTTTCTACCGCTTCTACATGCTTGCCTCTTTCCAGGCTCGCTCAAAGGCTGCCTACGAAGGCTCCGCTAGCTACGCCTGCGAGGCTACATCCGCTATCCGTACCGTCGCCTCGTTGACACGTGAGGACGATGTTTGGTCTATCTATCACACTCAGCTTGAAAACCAGGGTCGTGCAAGTTTGATGTCCGTTGTCAAGTCATCTCTCTTGTACGCCGCGTCTCAGGCTCTGGTCTTCTTCTGTGTTGCCCTCGGTTTCTGGTACGGAGGTACCCTCCTTGGTCACCACGAGTACGATATCTTCCGCTTCTTCGTCTGCTTCAGTGAGATTCTGTTCGGTGCCCAGTCTGCCGGCACGGTCTTCTCCTTCAGCCCGGATATGGGCAAAGCCAAAAACGCCGCTGCTGAGTTCCTGAAGCTCTTCGAGCGCCGTCCCACCATTGACACCTGGTCTGAGGATGGTGAGACTTTGTCGCACTGCGATGGAAGCATTGAGTTCAGGGACGTTCATTTCCGCTACCCCACTCGTCCTGAACAGCCTGTCCTTCGCGGATTGAACCTGAGCGTCAAGCCAGGTCAATATATTGCGCTCGTCGGACCCAGTGGCTGTGGAAAGAGTACCACTATCGCACTCCTTGAACGTTTCTACGACTCTCTCTCCGGTGGCGTCTTCGTCGACGATAAGAACATCGCCGATCTCAATGTGAACTCTTACCGTAGTCACATCGCTCTGGTCAGCCAAGAACCAACTCTTTACCAAGGAACTATCAAGGAGAACATTCTCCTCGGTTCTCCCAATGAAGACCCCTCCGAGGAAGAACTCTTTAAGGCATGCAGGGACGCCAACATCTACGACTTCATCATGTCTCTGCCCGAAGGCTTCAACACTGTCGTCGGTAGCAAGGGTGGTATGTTGTCAGGTGGTCAGAAGCAGCGTGTTGCTATTGCCCGCGCTCTCCTGCGCAACCCCAAGATCCTACTCCTGGACGAAGCCACCTCCGCTCTGGACTCTGAGTCCGAGAAGGTTGTCCAGGCTGCTTTGGATGCTGCTGCCCGTGGTCGTACCACTATTGCTGTTGCTCATCGCTTGTCAACCATCCAAAAGGCCGATATTATCTACGTCTTTGACCAGGGCAAAATTATCGAGAGTGGTACTCACACCGAGTTGCTCCGTAACAAGGGCCGTTACTATGAGCTGGTGAATCTTCAGTCTCTTGGAAAGAATTAATTGCTGCCCCCTTCCCCCCGACACATCTCCCTTTCCATCTTAACTTTGTCCGTTCATCTGTCAATATTTTGACCACCTCACCTCTTATCATCTTTGGCACTGATAGAAAATGGCGTTGGGGATCTTGCTTTCTTCTCATATTACCATCGGGATTCGATACCCCTTAACACATAAAAAAGATTTCGTTATTACAGAAACGAAAGGAATACAATGAATTTCAATTAAGATGAGACTTGCCATTCGTAACTCGTTACCCGCGATTCCAGTACGCCTTTTCCTTAGTAATGATACATTGCCATAGCCATTCACAAACGGCCCAGCTAATCTTTTTCTCCGGCGCCAAACTCCTTCTCCACATCCACCTGCCTCAAACCACGCGCGTCTGCAATAATCCCCATCAGGCCCTGTCCAACATCTTTGATCTCATTGTATTCATGCAAGAGACGGATGTGGCGCTTGACTGTAGCAGCGGGGTCATTTCTGACAGGTCAATATTCGTTTTCGCAGACATGGCGGTTTTGGTCATACACTTACTTGAGTTGAGAGGTTGTAGAAGCTAGTTCAGCCTCTAGCTCAGCCTGCTGGGCTTCCAGACTTGTAATGGTAGAGCGGAGTGTGGACTGGTATTGTTAGTGGACCAGAAAGCTCATTACTTCAGTGTTGCATACCAGTTTCTTTTCCTTTACTTGGTCCATGTTCGATGTGGAAGACATGTCCGACGAATATACTCCGTTTGCACTGTAAGTGACTTGGCCAATCACGATCCACGCTGAATAATCGATAAGATGGACAATGTTGTGTTATGAGTCGTTCAGTTGTCGACTTGTCGACTTGAGTACGGAATACCTTTTCCCAAGGCCTTTCAAATCACGATCGTCAAAGTATCTCTTGGCACATCCCCTGGAGGAACAGAGTATACGCGGTCCCGCATAATCGGATGCTCCGGATTGGGCTGATTACAACCGTACCCGCATCTGCATCTCTTCCAAGGTTCCTTTTTCTCCTTTCAACTCCCCAACCATGAATCTTCAAGGTCTCGTATGGGCATGTCTCGCCGCAACGGCTCTGGCCCATGGTGGCCATGAAGCCGTTCCTGAGGGCGAATCGATCTCCAAAGATCCCATCGTACGTGATCATCAGCTTCCCAAACAATTCGCCTTCTTAACTCTTTCCAGGACGGAACGCTATGGACCCATATGATTCTCATGGGTCTGGCCTTCGGAATCATCTTTCCCACTGGAATGGTCCTAGGTGTATGTATTGCCATCTTTCAGCCCAGGCATCATTTAACACGTTCTAGATCGTTCGTTCCCGCTGGCACGTACCACTGCAAACCGTCGGCACCGTTATTGCTGTTTTGGCCTACTTCCTCGGCCACGCCCACAAGGGTCGCCAATTCGATAAGAATCTCCATGCCTCGTTCGCGAACTGGCTTATGCTCATGCTCGTCGCACAAATTGTCCTGGGCGTGTACCTCAAATTGCATCTCGAGAAGGCAGGACAGGCGCGGATTCGGTGGATTTTCGTCCTTGCGCACGGTATCGTCGGAAAGATCATGCCAGTTGTGAGCTGGGCGCAGATGTTGTTCGGTGGTATTGCTGCGCTGGGCTTCTGTCGCGATGATCATCTCGGTCAATGTCTGGCGCATTTCATCATGGGATCTGCGTTCATCGGATACGGCATCTGCTTGACGATTTTGCTGCTTGTTGGCCAGTTCTGGCTCCGCAAGACCGGTCGCAGTCAGGAATTCTTCGATTCTTTGATCATCGCCGCCTGGGGTTGTGTCAATACATTCACCGAGCACCGCTGGGGTGGACCCTGGGTTCACAATGATCTGCAGCACACTACCATGGGTATTGTCTGGTGGTGTGCTGGTTTGCTGGGCATGTGGCTAAGCCGCAGCCGCTCTGGCCGTCCTAAGCGCAACCTTATCCCCGCCATTGTGATCATGCTCACTGGGTATGCCATGTCAGCTCATACTCAGGAGCTGATGATTAGCACTATGGTTCACTCCATCTTCGGTTATACCCTCATGGGCGCTGGTCTTACCCGTGTTATTGAGATTTCTTTCGTTCTCAAGGACAAGCCTGCTCTCTCAGAGCCAAACAGCTTCCAATACCTGACTCCCTTTGTATGTTCACTTACCTGTTTTTTTGTTTGATCTTGGATACTGACTTTCCCAGTTACTATATGCCTCTGGTTTCCTTTTCTTGGGTGCCACTGAGGAGCAGATGGTCATGCTGAACAACGCTGGCATCATGCATGTATCCTATGTCTTGATCCTGTACAGCATTGCATTCATCGTCTTCCTATGTAAGTCATCTATCCCCACCTGCTTATCAACATCTACTTACATTTTGCAGTTGTCAATGTCCTCCTTCATATTTATGCCGTTCACGCTTGGCCCAACTCCGAGTCCACAGACCAAAACGGACCCAAGTACACCAATCTCAACGCAAACGCCAATGGCCATGCCCGCTCCACCTCGCAGCAGATCCAGGATGCCGAGGCCTTCGAGCTTCATGGCTTGATCTCCGATGACGAGGAGGGCCCATCCATGGGACCTCGCAAGAACAGTGATGAAGAGCTCGGAAAAGAGGCATCACGCCACTGAGCCCAAAAAGCTAGTGTATTCATATGAAATTTTGTCATGCATGTTACCTTGTCGGCGTTTAGGTTAGGTCGGGCCAGGGCCTCTGAATGTAAGCATATAATTATCTACCAGCCTGCATATTGCACATAGTCTTTTATTACTGAGCCAGGTGCCTCGCAATTATTTAGGTTGCAGGCAAGTGATCCAAAATGGACCATTCAGTATGAGATCATGTGAAATGAAACATCGGCTGCGTATTCTATCGTACAGAGGCTCATGCCTAGAGAAGCCTTATGAGATTCGTGAATATGTAAATCGTCCCTTTTCATCGCCATTACTCCAAACTCACAACCTCCCCAGAGACAGGAACCGTAACCGGATTCCTCGCCGGAGGCACAGCAGCCATCCCAGCCCCAGCCAAATCCTCAGGGAAGAATGGATGAAGCGGATAAATCGGACCAACCATCTTCTCCCCATCGAACAACAAAATATTCTGTAGTGGCTGCTCCCTCGCCGAGAGCACATTAATAACATCCTGCGCAAGCGACCCGCCCAGGAATGCCGCAACGGGGCTCAACTCGCTCCCCAGATTCTGAAGGAAAGTTCGCAAAAACACAGAATCAAGCGTCAGAGGTTCGAGCTTCAATTCTTGGTGTCGGTCTCGCGACAGCTTAGTAAATAATTCCAGGTCTTCGTGTGTAAATGTTGGGCGGTGGCCGCGCAGTTTTTCGAATTCCCATAGTGCGCGCAAACAGCTTAGTAGAGGGGTGACTTGCTTGCGGCGGCGCGGAAGACGGGTGAATTCTTCTGGGAGGGGGGAGGTGTTTGCGAGGATGAGGGGAGAGTAGACTTCGCGTTTTGTGACTAGCTCGATGACCTTGTCGTTTTCCTTCTTGGTGTTGATACTGACGATGCTGCGTGTTTGCGTCTCCTGGGTACCGGCGTTAAGGTTGGACTTGCTTCGCTCAATCACAAAGTCATGGCTGATGAGATCGGCAAATGCATATCCGTAGAAACCGTAGAGTCCGGCTGCGTAGAATGGCTTGTTGGCTAAGCGGCAGGCGGCGTTGACGGTTGTGTTGGTTAGGAAATCGAGTTCGGTTGCGATTGTGATGTCGAATTGAGCGAAGAAGTCTGGTTGCTTGGTTTTCACATCTGAGGTATCAATGTTGAGCTTGACGCGCGGGTTCATCTTGCGGATCTGGGGTCCTGCAACCTCGGCACGCTGCGGGTTGTTAGGAGACTGTTGATGTTGGTTGGGTTTGAGCGAGGCTTACGTTCTTCCCAATCACATCGCCTTCATTTTGCGCTTCGGCGACAAAGAATTGCGCGCCTAGGTCTTCTTCCGTAACATCTTGGTGGTCGATGATGGTGAGCGAGCCGATGCCTGCCAGGACGAGATTCTTGGCGACTTCATTTGCGAGAGCTTTCACGGTAACGAGGAGGATATTTGCGGATCGAATCCTAACAGCTGTTAGAGAAAGAACTTCGGCAGTAATGCATTGGCACTCTGCTCACTTCTCCTGTGCCTGTACTCCCCAGAGTCGGATTTGTCGGTCATACAACGCGATTTCATCTGGTTGTGGTTGTTAGAGGCAACTCAATAGCTTGATGATCAGACATACCGGCGCTGATAGGCTGCGCATTCTCCCGGGGATCCATCGTGACTTGCTCAAGCTTCGGGATCAAAGTGAATGTCCTTGTGCTGGTTGCAAGGGAGATCGGAGCAAGAGATGAAATGCCGATTCAAGGTCATGTGATCCGGGAGCTACTGGGCGGGGCTGGTGGGTCTTTGCTTGGAGCATTCTTTGTATACTCTTCACTACCTTCACTACTTTGACAACGAAATATACTTGAGTATTTGCGAATATTGGCCGTATACTCATGTACAAGGTACTCTGTTTACTCTCTCTTATAGGTATGGCTCCACCATCACATTGAAACCTTGTGTCTCCGAGGCTCTATACTTAGACATGTCTATGCACTAGAAACCGCCCCTTTTGAGTACAGAGTACATACGGAGTCTTTTGAGCGGCTTTAGAAAAGGTTTCAGAAAGAGGTACAACACCAACCCATGTTCTCAGTACCAGAAAGCCCAAGGTAGTTGAACAAAAGAAATGTGGCTCATTTCCGCGGCTGTTTGTAATTGTTGCTTTCTTTTGTGTAGGGGTCTAAGACTCGGGGTTTGTGAGAGATCTTGAGGGAGCCATCTTCGATCCGGTGACGCAAGGGTGGGACGGGGTAATGAGACGTCACAGAAGGAGAGCAGAAGAAGTGAATCTTTCCTAAGGTCATGACAACGTTGGAAGTGAAGTTGAATTCGATGATCTAATCGATCATCACGTGTACCAACCTTGGAAGTTATTGAAGGTCAACTTATTCCCCTGATCGAATCTGACCTTCCTACTCAACACTCTACATGTGACCCTTTTTCGATTTCGGTCGGGGTATTTAGCAACTCCCTCTCCCAACGCTCCTGAAACGATGGTTTGTGTCTCAGCCATACACGATACCTAGACTGATATCTCACACCGGTGCAAATAGTCAGGGAACTATGATTACCCCTTTTCCTCCCGCATGCCTACTCCCCGTCGACCAGATCTCCTTCGTCTTCAGAATCTCCGCAACCTGGTCGCCGAACGGAACCGTGCCGGGGCTTCCACCTCCTACCACGCTACCCGTGCCCTGGAAACATTAAATCAGGAGATTGTGGATCATCACCTGGACCGAACTCGCGATCGTTCCAACCTCGAGCAAGCCCACTTTGAACAAGCCCGCGCCGCGGTAGATCGTCAGATACAACAACTCCAGTCTGAGTTAGCGAGCCCCGCAGAGCGGATCCAGCACATTCGGCACAACCAGCTTCGCTCCGAACGCCCTCCCAGCCGGTTCTCTCCGGAGTCTCATTCTCGCCGCCGCAGTGTGCCTTGGCCTACGTTAGCTCCAAACCCGGGCGCATCCCGCTCGCCGTCCCTTATGCCGCCATCCGGCCAGTCGGGTCACGATGACCAAGGACGTCAGAAGCGGAGGAAGCTGGACACAGATGATGAGCGTATCCCCTTCGACACAGATGATGGGTGTACCCCCTTCAAAGGGTTCAACTATGGACTATATGGACAAGTCTTGCCGGGAGAATTGAAGATGTCGCTCCTCACCTGCGACGGAGGAGAGCTCGATCCGGATGGGGTGAGCTCCCTACCGGAGAATATTTTGAACAATGACCAGAGTATCTACTCCACCAAAGAGGACCGCTGTAATCTGATACTGTGCCACAAGAATGAAACACCATTCTGTTTAAAAAAGATTGTTATCAGAGCTCCCTCCCATTGCCGCTTCGATGCTCCGTATGTATCCTCCTCCCTGGTGTGTTGCACCGCCAACTAACAGCACTAGAATCCAAGAAGGGATGGTTTTCGTCGCCATGTCTACTGATGATCCATTCACTCAAACCGCCGAAAGCCACATGCAATATTCATCTCAATGGCGTCGTCGACCCCGTCGCAGTGGCCTGCCTCCTTCCGAGGAATACCTGAGCGGGTTCCGACCGCCCCTTCAAAATATCGAGCGCACTGTCCTCACGGGCCCAAATTCGCACTATCCTCTGGATATTTTGGAGGACCCTCGGGCCCAGTTCCGTATCACCACCGAGTACCACGAGAACAAAGAGGACAATGCGTACTCCGACAACGAGGAGGAAGCGCCCCTAGAATTCAGCACACAGGAGGAACCCGCCGAACGGTACACATCAGATACCACAGATACACCTAGCGACGAGGATGATATGCACTACCTTCGCCGTCGAGTCATCCAGAATCAACACCGTGCTGCCGTAAATCGACACTCCGAAAATCGATCTCGCCGTGAGCCGAGTCTGAGCCATTCCAATTCAGATGATTCCACGCCGCCTCCCGCCGATGTCCTGAAACCGCTTGCGCGCTTCTTCCTGGAACGCGAGAGAAACATAGTCACGATCAAATTCGATCCGCCTCCGTATGTGTCAAGGTCGTTGTGTAGTCCACTACTAACGACTTTATAGATCCGGTCGCTATATCCTGATCAAGCTATGGAGTCCGCACCCTCACGAGGGAAACGTAAACATTGAAAGCATCATTGCGCATGGATATGCGGGCCCGCGGTTCTTCCCCAGCATCACGGCTCGTTAGCCATGCTATGTCTATTCGGTTCATGATCTATCTTTCTTTTTTCTTGGTCCGGGATATATTGATCTGGACTGCTGTCTAGCGTCTGCTAGAGTTACGAAGACACGATTAATGACAAAGTATACTTTATAACGTCCAACTCACTCAACTGCACCCTCTTATTGAAAACAATGACCACGTACACCAGCCCTGGAGGGCGTTTACAATCCATGACATATGTACTAATTTCCTAATTTGGAAGGTGGGTCACCACCCTTGATATCACGTAATCACAGAGCCGCATCAACACCAACTTTGGAAGGTACGAAGCATGAAAACACCACATGTGCAGTTCATGATTTCCAAGAGCCACTACAACACTTGAACTTGGTTAAATTACCTTGCATGCATCTTTTTCTAGGGAGCATCTGCCTAAATAGATGGTGACCTGGGGTTAAATAGAAAAATACCTTGACACTGCACAATTTGATAGGGGTTCGTTCGCACGTCCCTGTCCACGAGATCGACCAATTCCTCCAGTCATTTAACCCCTGAAGAAAGTCCAAGTATAGTATCCCAAGGTTGAAGCCGTTGCAATAAGCGAACCTAGCGTGATCAATCCACCTGTGATGATACCTTGCTCGAAGAATCCGATCTTGAACCCAGGTCTCTGCTTTGTCGACGGCAGCGGTGCAATAGCCTCCCTCCACAGCTTATCGGCTTTTGCTGTGTTGCCCAGGACTATATCAGTGGAGTTCGGGACTGGTTTGAGTATCTGCGGGCGTGGAACCTCGAATTGGCTCTTTGTATAGCGGGTTTGCGTGAGAGGTGTGTCTTTGGGTATGGCAGGACCGACTAGATTATATCAGTTTATGGCCAGTTGTCTAATTTGCTTACTTACCGAGCATGTGGCTAGGGACATGGTTCACCCACGAGATGTGGGAGTCGATGAATTGCGTGAGATATTTGGCTGACGATGGCGCAGCGAAGGCATAAGTTGCAGCCAATGTTTCGGTACTGGGAATGTCAGCCCCACCATGTTTGAAGCTGTGGTCAAACTAACTTTGTATCAATTGCGTCGTCCAGGCTAGTAACCGAGTGGATCAGGAGTACTTTCTCGTCAATCTTCTTTCTCAGAAGCGATGATTTGCTATAAGAGTTAGTCTGACTCAGTGTGCGATCTATATGAATCTTACCGATCCTGGACTTCAACAACACCCCAATTGCTTCCCGAAACCAGCACTCGAGAAGTACGGTCTTTCTGAATAGTTTCCAATAGAGCGGATTTCCGAGAAAGACATCTGCCTTCCCCATTCTCGCCCGCAAGATACTTGGATGCATGCGTGATCACAGCTTCCACGAAAGGCTTCATGGCAAATTCGTGTACCAATACCACATCCGGGCTATATGTTGAGCGACCACCCAGTGCAAATCGTGCTGCAACCAATGCCTCTGCTGCTTGGCCAACATCGCCTGAGCGATCAACAATGGCTACCACTCTCAGATTTGCGGGCGAGACAAGCCCTGCATAACTCTCGCCTGTCTGCACAACCATCAGAGCTTTGCTCAGGAATGATGCGTCCGGCCTTTGCGCCGTAATGGTGAAAGTATCATGGTCCAATGCGTCGGGCAGTATGCTCCGAAGTAGTGCTGGAAGCAAGCTTGTTGTTTGAGGTAACTGACAAAATTAGCAATTATACAAGGTGATAAGATCTCAAAACCAACCTCAAGGATAACGCAATTGCCCGCTGCCAGTGCCGCGCTGAGTGCCGATATGATTGAGTAAAATGGCGTATGAACACTCGGCACAATGTATACTATTCCGACACCGCGCACACCATCTGGATTGTCCTTACCTTGCGCGATTCGATACTCAGCACTGAGATCTTTCTCCAGACTCAAACACGAGTAATGCGCTCGTAGCTCTTGCAACGCGAGTACAATTTCCGCGCGCACTTCAATTCGAGTATGTCCTGAATCTGCATGAATGGCATCTTGAATATCAGCAATATGCCCCACGAGAGCCGATTGGAGCTTCTGCAATTGGGATTGACGATAGCGCGTGTTTTGGGTGCGCCCGTCAATATTCGCAGCAAGAATCCGAGAGAGATCCATGACTTCAGCAGAATGAGTCGAATTGGACATTGAAAACAACTCAAACAATGGGATAAGTACATCGCTGCTCGGAAGCCGCTGTACTTCGGGATGTGGGGGAGATGTGGACATGCCAAGCCCTAATCCGGGGAGACTCATTTGATGATCTTACACATCCCAATTCTAACTTGCTGCATCGGTGTTTCATACTGATTTCTTCGCTATGATTACTGCTACCACTACTACTCAGACTATCTCTGTGCTCGCCGACTACGAAGTCCACCACAGTGGCAATGATACTGTGAACGAGCGTGAAACGGTGCCACAGCCGGTCGAGTGGCCGACACATCATCGTCGTATACCGGCATTCCGTCCTACAAATCGCAACTTGTCTTTTGAGGAAAGACCCGGGGGAAGCAATCCCGCTGAAATGGTCTTTATCCAAGTCATGCTACATGGTGTCTGGCTAAACGCAGTGTGTATATCTTCCTGATTTGAAAGTGCAATTCTTGACGCTTTCTAGGCTGTTTCTAGGCTTTGGAGATTTACTGGCGGCAGAATTAATGACAAAATTTTTCACTACGAGGTTGGAGGGGAGTGGTAGATAGGGACCAACATGTTGAGGGGTTGTCAAGCATTCGAGCCATCCTGAAGTCCAAAGTTGCGAATATCTGAAACGCTTCGCAGTCAATCTGAACTCGTGGGTATTAACCCAATATCATATAACAACCAAGCCCAAAGAATGTACTATTTCGATCCTCTTTGGGCACCAAAGCCTACCTAAACCGCAGGCCCCGGGGCTAACACGAGAGCAACACTATCTCATCCTGACTACATTGCTCTTTTACTTTCAGCACATAAGCTCCCCAGAAATCTAGAGTAGAATATTAATTCATGGATGCAATGAGAGGTATAGATTCCCATTGCCTTTAGATACACATTTATGTACTCGCTCGAACCCCAATACCATCAACAACCTCCTTCAAAGGCTTCCCCTCCACTAATATCTCACCAGAAGGTTGAAGCACATACATCATACGCGCCCACTGAGGAACACTAACGCCATCAACAACAGCATCAGGCGTGACATTGCGCCAAGCATGATTGGTTCCACGCTGTACAGCAACATCCCCTCTCTTAAGAAGTCTCACTTCACCAGAGTCCAACACAAGCTCGACCTCGCCCTCCAGTACAACACCGTAGTCCAACGAGACGGTTCGATGCATTGGGCTTGTCACACCAGGCTGCATATCCACGATTCGGCACACTGTGCCACCGGATACGACAATGCCCGGTGGATCGGATAGGTAGCTTTGATAATTGGTAACGTCGGCTTCGTTGCTCAGTTGAGCTGGGAATTCAGAGGTGGTATAGGCTAGGCTGAAATCGGCTCCATCGGTTATTCTCTTGACGGGCATTGTTTCGGAGAGAGTTGTGGAAAAGATGGCTTTACCGGCTTCATCGTGAGTTGTGATGAAGCGGTTCAGAGGGCGGATGTTTTTGGGGACTTTGTCGGTCATGTTTGTGACTAGCAGATAGAATTTGACGGAAGTCAGGAAATTTTAATTGAAAAGTTCTTTATGGGGCCCAGGTGACCGGGCATAAATATTGTAGTCGGGATCTAAAAAAAAGTCCCCCGCCTCGGGACGATGATGCCCACATCGGCTGGTGTTGTCGAATTTTGGGATTACCTCGGGCCTGCATTTCCTTCACAATGTTTTGAAATGCAAGGGAATGAGGAGTATAGGGGGTTACATTAAGTTATCCTTGGATGTTCACGGGTAGGGTGTATTAGATTCGTTTTCCGGGATAATCGAGTTTCTACTTTGTAGTACAGATCTCAAGTTGGCTGCGTAAGACTTGAAGATTATGCTGGTCATTGAAATTCCTTCCTATATCGCCGTCGTGCAGTTGCGCTGACATCGGGACTTCAGGAACACAGCTACATTGATTGCTTGTCTATGGCCATGCATACTTGTCAAGGTTGTCATTAGGTACATCTTTTAAAAAGCAATTTGAATTTGAATTTGAATTTAACTTTGAATCTGTCTCATAAGAAGCTTGAAATCTATCTATAGTCTACTCACCAATCATTCAACTGGCGGGATAACTGGGAGAGTAACATAGTTCTCCGCAATGCCGAAGTGAATGTGATTCTTACCCTGGAAGCGCTCAGTGGATCTGGAAAAGTCAGCATTTGTATCCAAGTGACAGAATGAGTAGACTTACCGATCGATAGAAGAATTATGTTGGAAAATCCCACTGCCTTGTGTATCTCCACTGCTAACCTCCAACACGATCTTGCCTCCCTTCTCAATAATGACATTCGTCGGCCAAATCTCCACATCAACCGCATAGACCTCACCCGGAATCACAGGACGTGCATCGGTAGAGTAGTAATTGCGATGGGGGAGCCAGGAACGGTCTCGTGGACTTTCGTGATCAACTTGTCTCATCGAAACACGTAGCCAGCCCTTACACAATGGGACAGGGTCACCTGCTGTTCCGGTATAGAATACTTCTTCGCCGCTAGGTGAGATGTATCGCATAGTGAGGAACAAATCGATATCTTGCGGTGAGGGTGCTCCTGCATTCGCACTCATAGAAACATTTAGGTGCGCAACAAGGTGCCCTGTGATCTCAGTTTCGGTTTCGAAGGGGGGTGTGGTGAATTGGACTAATTGGGGATCATCGAGATTCCCCAAGGCCTCGTAGGAGATCTTGGTGGAGCGCGATTCTGTTGGTGCTGAAGTCACCAGCTCCTTTTGCGATGTCAGGAAGTACTTGGTGTACTGGGTACGTGCGATGGGCCACTCTGTTTCCTGTCGACGGGGGAAAGTCCTCTCTCCCTCAGCATTGTTGTGGCCCACATTTCCTTTACGCAGGACCATGTCCACCTTGGGGGCGGTGCCGTTTGCCCAGCCTGCGCGATCGTCTCCTTTCAGGAAAGCATCGAGGAAACTGCGTTGGAGCTCGACTTCCTCCTTGTAGTAGAAGGGTAGATCATGTCGTCCGGTGATAAAGCGTAGATACTTCAAGTCGGAGCCTGCATGTGTATAACCTTCGACGTTTCCTCGAAGATGCAAGAGAATTCCACCCCAGTTTGCGACAGACAGCAAGGGCACTTTGATATCCGACATGCTGTACTCCTTGGACGCATAGTATAGATCATCCCTGAACTGATTCTCCAAATTATCGACAGTCTGATCTTGACGATTCTGCACGAGCTCATCTGCAGGTAGATCACCTTCAATGGTATCAGGACCCCAGTTGCGAGCCGCCCGGCCAGAAAGGCCATACTGGTTACTCACAACCTGGCGATCCCACCAGAACTTGATGAACTTGTTCGAGAGAATTCCACCATGGCGGCACCGATCACGGTAGTAATCCGACATGCCTTCCCAGGGAACAATGCAAGATAACCCTTTTGGCTGACGTGCGGCGACACGCCATTGACTACCTGCGAAGTAACTGATTCCAAGGAGACCAACTTTTCCGCTGGACCAGGGCTGCTCAGCAGCCCATTCCACAACATCAAAGAAAGCTTCACTGGTTCCGCGAGACATCGTGTCCAGCTTCCCGACGGATTGACCGGTACCGCGTTCGTCGGCACGTACCACAGCATAGCCATTGCTGGTCCAGAACTTAGGATCGGGCGTTTCCCAGGCTGAGTGCTCTGAGCGCTGCTCAGGGTTCACCTCACTGAAGCTCTGCGGGTGGAAACTGCGTTACGTTAACGATTGGATATGAACCGATTTCCTGTTTAAGTGACAACGTACGCTTCGTAACTGATATCTTTGCCATACGGACCATAGGTGACGAGAACAGGCACTTTTTCTGAATTCTTGGGGCGATAGACGTTGCAACGAACGAGGCCTGAATTATCTTTGAGCTCAATCGTCACATTCTGCTCAAAGATGTATGAAAAGGACGTCTCGTCGCGAGTAGCGATGTCCTTGATTTGGTTCGGCATTTTGGTGAAGATTGCAATGCAGTCGTTGAGTATGAAGAACTCAAAAGAAAATCAGTCGACAGACTTCTCTATTCTCAAGAAAAATAGTAAAATTATAAATACCATTGGCGTCACCTCCGCATCTCCGCAGAGGTGGAGCCGAAATGGACATCCGAGAGTTGCGAAACATCGCACGTTGCAGGCCGAAGGCCGAACGGCAAGTTGCGGAGACTAAACATGAACTGAACATATATGAAAGCAGTTCTCCTGTTCCGAAACAAAATCATGTGTTTAAGCTGTGCGCTTTCCAAGTTCAAATGACACGCAAAGATCTCAATGGCGAGGCTAAAGGCCTACGCATTCTCATCGTTGGTGCCGGAATCGGTGGTCTGGTTGCTGCCATTGCTCTAAGACAAGCAGGGCACTGCGTTGAGATATTTGAGCGCTCACGATTTGCAAACGAAGTTGGAGCTGCGATCCATTTATCACCTAATGCAAATGGAGTCTTGCGGAAGCTGGGAATTGATGCCGTGGAGTTCGGGGCTGTTGAAGCTGAACAGGTAATTTGTCTCTGACGAGAAAATACCAAAATCTTCAGGCTGACTCAAAGGTTGTGATAGCTGCGGGAGTACACACCTGCTGGCGAGGAGGTGCATATCATGTCCATCAAGGAAACTGCCGGAATTTGGAGACATGTGCGTACCCCCATTCAGATATTTCAATCCTCGTATGCAGATCTAACGATCTTATAGCGTTGGCTCCTTGTTCACAGGGCTCATTTCCATGATGGTCTCAAAGCAGCTGCACAGGCACCTGGGAAGGGCCAACCCGCTGTTCTGCACACTGCCAGCAAGGTAGTAGATGTAGATACACACACCGCAACAGTCACTCTCGAGAATGGCGATGTTATCGAAGGCGATGTACTTCTTGGTGCCGATGGTGTGCACTCTATGACGCGTACCAAGATATCCAAAGATATTAAACCCTTCAGCTCCGGCAAGAACGCCTTCCGTTTCCTCATCTCCCGACAACAGGCACTAGACGACCCCGAAACTGCTAGCATCGCCCAGGATATGGGCGCAGTCGATATGTGGGACTCAGAGGAGCGTCGTGTTGTGATATACCCGTGTGCCAATAACAAGCTCCTCAACTTCATCTGCCTTCATCCAGAGACAGATACCCCAAGTGCCATCAACCCTGGTGGTGACTCCTACAACCAGCAAATTGGAAAGGATGCTCTACTTGATGTGTATCAGCACTTCAATCCTCAAGTCAAAAAGTTGCTTGAAAAGGCAGATCCACAAACACTCAAACTCTGGCCGTTGTTGGATATGGATGCACTCCCAACTTGGGTCGATGACCGTTTGGCTCTTCTGGGCGATGCAGCTCATCCTTTCTTACCATACCGTGCTTCCGGTGGCGCGATGGCCATCGAAGATGCTGTCTCGCTTGCTGTCATGTTACCTGGTGATATCTCAAGAGATGAAGTGCCAGAGCGTCTGAAAATCTACGAGAAAGCTCGTCATGAGCGTGCCACGACCATACAGCAGATGACTCGCGATTCAACCAAGCTTCAATCACCTCAATCAGGTATGTTCCAAATTCATCACCCCCGGATTTTGACTCTCCGACTAATTATATCAGCCTGGGGCATGATCGCCTATATCTACGGTCACGATGAATTCGACCACTCCGCTCAAGTCCTGCGCAAACACCTCTGGTCACAAAACCCTGAAGTGTATTGGCGCCAGCCAATTGTCTTCGGACCTATGCCCGGTCCCCGTCAGGACTGGATGGGTCGTGACCGTGCTCTGAAATCAACCCAATCAACCTTCACAACGGCATCAATCAAGTTCAAAACAAGTCGGACGCTTCTGCAAAACCTCTTCCCATCGGACCGGTATAGTTTCATCGCGCCTGGTACAGTCGCACGTGCCAGCTTTTCCCAGACTACACTCGGTGGTATGAATTGGTTGGGAGGTGGTGGATATCGCCACATCGGACTTTACATCCACGGCGTGCAATACAAGAAGGAAAATGGTGAGGTGCTGAAGGGGACATATATGCCTATATTGTTTGAGAATCTTGCCGACCCCATTGTGTCAGGCCGTGAGGAGCTGGGGATGCCGAAGCTGTATACTGCTATTGACATCCATCAGCGGAATAACTCGTATCGCATGCAGACCAGCTGGCAAGGTGCTGTGTGGGGACATTTCGAATTGGAAGATCTGATCGATGAGGACCCTGCTGTGGATGCAGGAACAATCGGCGGTGAAGCAGATGACGGCATCTTGGTTTATCGGTATATACCCAAGGTTGGGAAAGACACCAAGGGACAGGCTGAGGCTGAGTATCCCATCTTTGTCCCGCATGCTGCCGAGTCCAAGGTCGTTCCTTCAAAGGTGACGCGGCTGCAACGCACCTCCAAGGCCAAGATGGAGATCCACGGCCTTGACTGGGATGCTCTGCCTACGCTCCATCATGTTGTTTCTCGATTGGGCGAGATTCCCATCGATGAAATCATTGACGCCAAGGTTGTCAGTGGAGTCGGCGTCCCCGATGTCTCCTCGGCCCTGCGGATTGAATAGTTGTTAGGCCATGGGTGTATTTGATGTCAATTCCTGATGTATTGATGCTTCAAGAGAATAGCCAATCACCTAAATTGACACAGTGTGTATAACAACAGCCTCAAGAAGAAGCCACAGCATTCAAACAACTTTAGAATGTATAGGGTATCATAAATAAATCATCAGGCAGTAATAGCCAATCTAGCTCTCTTCTGCCTCTTCCCCACACGCTCATCCAAAACCTCTCTCGGTCTACACAAAAGCTCCCGCAATCCATCCCTCAACTCCCCGACCTCCTTCACCAATTCACTTTCTACCACCCCCCTGGCCCCAAGATCACATCTCGCCGTAACCGCCAGATCAAAGTCCGTCAACCCTCGAACCCGAAGCAAAGGCCCAACCCAACCCTCTCCCATCCCAAACGGAATTCTCTGTCCAGAAACCCCACTCCCCATACTCGTAAATCGCCCCAGATCCAAACTCAACCCCAACTCCATCAACCCACCCAACTTCGAAACACTCTCCCAGAACCTCACCCACAGCTCATCACTGTGCGTGTGCCCGTAAACCGATCCCTTATGATCGAGTCCCTCCATCGGAATCCAAATAGGCATCCACTGCACCGTCAATCTCCGAATGGAGCCCCGCGCATTGGGCGAGAGAGACTCGCTGAATGCGATAAATGTGTATAAATCATCTACATCGAATCGCGATGCCTGGTAGAGGATGTGTTCTGCTTCGGTGTGAATGCGCCGACACACTCGCAGCAGATTGACATTGCTATCACTCAGTGAAGAAGGGAGATGCTCGTGCGTGTGTGGGTAGAGCAATCTGTCGCTGTGGCCTGGGACGCGGCCATCGTAGATACGCCAGCGGGCCGGGGTGGTGGGGCAACAATGGCGGTTTTGTGTTAGGGCTGGATTTGGCGGGTTGGAATCATTACTGGGGTTGGGTTGAGATGGGCATCGAACATGGCGGATTTTGCCTTTTAGTTGGACTAAGTGGAGGGTTTGGGGATTTAAAGTGGTGGGGGTGGAGTCGTTGGTGAGAACGTAGGACCAGATCATTTGGCGGAGCTCGGCGGGCAGTTGCAAGAGTGGGGATTGAGATTGGGTGTGCATTGATGGGTTGATGGGGGTGGAACTGCTTGGATTTTCTGGGGAGCAGATGGCGCGGGAGTGAATTAGGTCGCGGACGGTGTCGCGCCAGCGATGACCAGTTGGATAATAGTGCCAGATGGAGTAGGGGTCGCGGAGGACCCAGGTATCGAAATGACGCATATTGGGGGAGTTCAGTAGTAAATGGGGGTCTATAGAGGAAAGTATAGAGAAGCAAAAAGAGGCGAAAGTAGAGAACGTGGGGTAAATATGGGTCCAGTGGGCAATTGATAGAGTGTAGAGAAGAGAGTAAAGTAGAATAGAGAGAATAGAGAGAATAGAGAGTCTTGTAGATCTATGGGAAACTGCAATTCCTAAAGCAGCCGAGAGTCCCCCTCAATGACGTCGGTGTGCTTTGTGCTTCTTTTTTTCTCGTTTTGACAGTTGGCAGACAATTCTTGGTTTGGGTACATATGCAAGTTGTAAACGCAAACTGCGGTGTATTGAGTCTCGGAGAATGCTCCAGTGGTCTGTCGTAAGGGATAATCGTTAAATACATCGTGAATATACAAACGCCGAATATAACATGACATGCAAACCAAAATGCCCATTCTATGCAGCCCTCTCTTCATCTGTGGTATCCTTGTAACCCTCGACATCCCGATACTCTTCAACGGGAGCTTCGACCCTCGGGGCTGGAGCACTTTCCTGCGCAACGGCAACATAAATAGCGCAAGCCAGAATCAGCGCCGATCCAGCCCAACTGATCGGGCTCAGAGTACTCCCCCAAACAACTTTATCGTAGAATAGTGCAAAGAGCATCTGCATATAAACCATCGAGGTAGCCTTGGTTCCCTGGTTCCCGGGCTTTCCATTCGACACCGACGCAGGGGGAACATACGACAATCCTGCCGTGAGCAGGAATTGAAGCATGAAGCCGCACACGCCTAGGCCCGTCAACAACGTCCACTCAATGGCAGAGTTTGGCAAACGGAATGGCACCCAGGGCATGGTCGCCATAGCGACGAATGAGATGATGGTTGTCACTGACGAGAAGTAAGTCACCGAGACGAGCGGGTGGGCTCGTCGTCCGATCATGCGAATGGACGTGTACGCTCCCGCAGCCCCGATCACACCCACGAATGCGACGATCGTCGCCATGACGTGGTGGTAAGAGTCTGCGTCTGAGGGAGTCTCGTCATGCGCGGACAAACTCATGGCCCAGGCGGCTACAGCCGTCGGGGCTGAGGTAACGGTTTGGGGAGTGCGCTTGCTGAAAGGTCGTGCAATGAGAACCACGCCGCCGAGCGAGACCAGCGCGGCTAGCTGCTGGCGTCGGGAGAAGGTCTCGCCCGGGATCAGTAGTGAGCATGCATAGCAGGTCATTATGGGTGCTAGGAAGGTGATCACAGTTGCTTCGGAGAGTGGGAGATATTGTACAGAGTAATAGAGTCCATAGACGCCCATGAAGCCGGAGGTGGCTCGAAGAAGCAGGAGTGGTCGCACGGGGCGGGTTCCGAACGGGGATGGGACGGATGCCCACCACATATAGAGGTAGCTGGCTACTGCCGTTATAGACATGCGAGCAAACAATACCTGGTATACTGTTAGTTATATTCATAGTAAAGATGGTATGGAGGGGAAGAATTCTGAGAGAGCTGATCAAGTACAGACTACACATTGCAAATGCAAATGACTCGAAAGTTTCAAAATTTGATCTCTTCTCATCCATTCTGTTTTCTTCATGTTCTTACCTGGAAAGGATGCATAGCACTATGAATTTCCAAGATCTGCGTCATAACATTCATAGATGCACCGAACATCTGCGCAAGCAAGACAAGCGCCATTCCCTTGTTACGCAGCCACAAGACCTGCCATGCACGGCGGGGCCTCGAGGCGGCAGCAGCGGCGTCATCATAATCATCATCTATAGGCCGGGGCTCAGACTGTGCAAGCACAGCCGGGTCCTCGGCCACACTTCCACTTTCACATCGATAAATTGATTCTTCACTTTGAGTGTGGTGTTGATTGACTTCAGATCCTTGCGACTCGACCGGCAGGGGCGCATCTGGGTGATCGCGGTATGTGCTGGGATCAACACTGTCGTTGATCGTTGACTCGTTATTGGAGAAATCGGTCTGTGGGGACTTTGCGGGGGATCGGATTGGAGACATCTTGGCGGGTCGCTTCTCCCACAATGAAGCCTGGCTGGAAAGGGACAGGATGCTAGTTAGCAGGTGGAGAAAGGACGGTCTTATATCCCCCAGTCCAAGTGAAAAAAAGTGTGTTGTAGTGTCGAAGTGTCGCAGTGACCAAAAGAGATTTTCTTGACAGGAAGTGGACCCTCCTTGACCGCCAACCGCCGCTTGACTCTTTGGCGCTTCCTACTTTCGGTTTCAACCCTTGGGATGTTCCTATTGATCGGTCATTTTGCTGTTCGGCTGATTCTATTCTGATTCGCTAATATTGTTCGACCTGCATGGGCTCAGTGCAACCTAGGAGAGCACACGACCCCCGGACTCTTTTCCGCCCTGCGAATATGATCACGAGTCTACTACAAGTACGGAGTATGTGAGATGATCTGCAAAAGCTGAGCTCACAAGCTACCGGGGCCGCTGTGAACCGGCTCGGTCCCGAACTTTAGAACACATGCTTGTACCTTATCTGGAAAGACATATCGTCCTCGGCTTATGGACCAGTGCATCAGTGCACCTCAGCCAGAGCTCTGCGCAATACCCATGATAGTCCTTGCAACGGCGCTCGCCCCCCTCCGAATTCATTAGGAGGGATAAACTAAGTACTACATCATGCTCTATCACTAGAATACACCACCCAACGCATAGCCGAGACATAGTGACCGATCCCTTGTGGAGGACAATACATCCAGAAATGATCAATGAACGTACACCGGAACCGAGAGACCAACCGAAATACCAGGTCGAATATTCTCCTTGAATCCGTGCGCCGGAGCATCTGGCAAGATCTCTCGAAGTCGAAACCGCAACGGGCTCAGAGGATTCATGCTCACGGTCGCAACTATAGCCACTCGGCCCTGCACTGTTTTCGTGACTATTAGATGCGCATCCCCAACCAGAAGCCTTGCACCCTCCAGCAGCCCCAGTACGGGCGAATTTGTAGCCAGTGTCAGAATTTGCGTCGACAGAATCGTTTGTAACGGCTTGAGACGCGCAGTTCGACAAGGTGCAGAGCATGACCGAACGAGGCTTTTATCGTGGAACTCGAGACACCTTTGACTGAAAACAGGGAAGCTGGATGTCTCTCGTGTTTCCTTCACAATGCGGAACCAATTATTTGCCTCTTTGGGGGTCGATGGCAAGACTGGACAGTGAGCGGGAATGTCGCTAAATGGCCAGGCGACTTGGAGATTCCCTTCGCTGTCCAGTCCTGTATGCTCAAGGGCAAGTATAGAATTGATAATAATCCGTCGGGCTTGGGGCCCACTCAGCAGACTGCCATAGGCTGGTTGATCTCCGAAGGAATCAATATCATCGTTCGAGTGGCATCGAGTCCAGCATGAGCTGATACAATGTCGGTCGCCGATTTTGTGCGCGCAATATGGGGGATTTTCCAAATCCTGAACACCTGTCTGGGAGAGACGGAGAGCATCCCACAAGGTGACTCTCTGAGCATTGCCAGTGCATGCGCTCACTTCTAATCCAGCTCGCAGTCCAAGAAGCGGCACGAGTTTGGTATCGGGCCTTTTGCAGTCTTCAATGAGCATTGCCTTCAATGTTCTTTTCGGCATCCGCTTATATTTTCTCACAAGTCCACCTGTGATGTATTGTCCACCGCCGAACTGAAGGTCAAATCCATCTTTCACGTACTTTGATTTGCAGGTTCCCGGGTATTGGAGCCGACATGCTATCTGTTGTTGGATCGATGCAATTGACGATTTGCACTTCTCGTTGACGATAAGTCCGATCTCGGTTTCAGTGTCTGTTCCAATCAAAAGCCTCGACGTGGCGTTGATGGAGACTGGCACTCCGGTATCACATCCATCAATCTGACCATCAAAGATATGCCGCGGGATCTCTGTGGTCCAGTGACACTCGATCACCTGTTTACGCCAGGGCGGTGCTGATGGCTCGGGTTGTTGATCATGGGGTAGCGGTAAAATGAACCCTCTTTCGGTCCGAATTGCTAGCCCTCGATCTGAGAATCCACCCACCAACGATATAGGACCCCATAGATCATCAAATTCTTGAACAGAGAGGCAGACTTTCATCCCAGGATCTTGTCCCAAAGACCCGTCGTTTTCTTGGCGAGATTGTTGCACCTGCTCTTCATCTTCAGGTAGAGCAGATTGAACGCCTTGCGGAATGCAGGAAGTGTTCGGTGTTTCTTGAGCATTCTCTTTCCCCAAGACCCACGCTGGCCCCCCAATGAAGTCATCAAGACAAGCCAGTTTTCTCGGACGGAAGGCGTATCCACCGAGGCCAATCGGTATATTTTGCAGCCGTTGACCCCAAAGATTCACATCAAATGGGCAAACATGTGAGCCTGAGAACGAGACGAGCCCGATCGACAAAACCGAACACAGTATTTGCATGGAATCTATCGGGCCCAGGCTCGAAAAGTCAGCCTCGCTTAGATTGAGCATCTTTCGAATCCATTCTTTCGCCCAAAGATCCAATGCACTGCTACCGAAGTGAGTAGCTCCGCTGAGAAACCATTTGACCTTTTTCAATGAGACTGGAAAGGTCCTGGCGATACTCCCATTGTCTTGCTTCTCAACTAGGAGGCTCATTGAAGGGCCACAAAAGCCCTGAGATTGCAAACCAACAAGCGCAGCTTCCCACTTTCTGAGATGTGCAATGCAACATTTTAAGGAGTTTATTGGAATAAAAGGACCTGTTTCCATACCCAGTGCCTGTGCAGTTGCAAGTTCGAGCTGGTCCAGCTCGCCAAAGTAACGAGAAGAGTCTAGGATATGATCGAGATTTCTGTCTCCCATTATTCCTGAATCTATTGAGTCGTCTTCAACCTCTGGCCTAGTGATATCCGTGTCTCTAGAGTCGCTTGCCGAAGGACTCAATTCGGAAGAGACAGATGATTGTTTTTGTTGTGAGAGGATGGTATGGTCCGCTGGCCGGTCACAAGAGTCATCCAATCGCTGACGCTGGGAATCATTCGGGGACATCAGCTCTATGGAGGGCTCTTCCTCGCTTGTCCGTTTGCGCTTGCGTTCAACTAGGGGTTCTGGCTCCAGCTCAGGTTCGGAAGCGGGGACAGTCCCACCACTGGGCGACAACCTAGGTGGCGGCGATTCTTCTTTCAAATCCGTCAAACAATGTCTCTTCAAGCAACTGTAGAAGTCTTTCCAGTCCTGGATTGACGTTTTACATATTGGGCAAGCACTTGGATGATGCTCTCGTCTTTCAGTCGACTGCAAATCAGCAATTTCGAGTCTTTCTTGATGTTGGCGCGAGATGTGTGCTACAAGATGAGCACGTCTGAGGAACACTTTAGAGCAACTTGATTTGGGACAATGGAAGCTTTGTGGGGTATATGAGTGTTTTTGGCTCAAGTGTCGTTTGAAAGAGGCAGAAGAATTGGTAACGCTCTTGGAAGGGGCCACACATAAGCAACAGGTATATCGCTGATCGGCTTTGTGTCTCACAGAGTCAGTTGGCGTGGTCAATTGAGGGCCCCGGGCAACCCCAAACGAAAAATGTTGTGGATTATTTTCCAATTGCGGTCTGATACCAGAATTGAGAGCTGTCACGATCGAAGGACTGCGAGCATATTTAAATCCAAGACGAATGAGCTGCTGTTCGCGAGTCTCAGGTGGTGGTCCCTGCGCGAGTGTGGAATAGTCATGTGCTATGTCACCGTCAGGCAAGTGTTGACCTAGTAAATGATTCGCGGTTCCTTCATCAACAGAGCCTTCGGCATAGCCTGAGTCCAAGCTTTCATGGATTGTATCATTGAAGAGGTAATCTCCAGACATCGGCATTGACAAGGTATGGTATTCAGGATAAGTATTGCCAGGCCACGAACCCTCATATTGGCCTAAGGCCCCATACCCAGAGTCCGTGTTTTCCGATGTTTGATTTGCATCTTCAGGGGATAAGAGCGACCAAGAACCATTATCCATACTCGAGTTCAGGGTTGTTTTTGGAAGGTAAACGATGAAAGTTACATTGAGTTCCCAGAAAAGATCGTTTAAATACTCTGCTTAGGTACTCTGTACAGCCCTCTCAGAACACTTTGGGGCGGTTGCGTGTTGGCATAAGATTGGTGGGCAGTGGTGGCTTGGACACGCAATAGACTAGGGCGAAGTCATGCAGCTGCGCCTCAATTCACCCAGGTGTCGAGCCCTCAGTCTAGCAGCATGCTGGGAAAAGATAACAGGCACACTTGGCTGTAAAAAGAACGCATTTACTCAACGTTGATAGTCCCAACTCGGCTGTTTGAGCTCAAAAATCCTGATTCTCGTGTCCATGATACACCCTCAGGGCCAAGCATCAAGTGTTTCAGACTTGAGAAATATGCATGAAACAAGCCTCTGGGTACTTCATGGTCTCAATGAAGTCATCATGCGCCCTCCCGTGTCTTATTGGCCCGGTCATATGCTTACCACCACAGCTTCGAGGCTCATTCGAAGCATAGGATACTCCAGACCCAACCTTGGGAGATCAATTAGCTAACCACATAGTCAAATATGAGAGTCAATGTTCAGTTCGCAATAGATCCATCGAAACTGAGTTTAGCCAAGAAACCACCGGCCCACATTCAAAATCCGGGGTACTCCAACGTTCCCCGTGGGTGGTTTTGATAGATCGTATCCGTGGTTGACATCTAGCATATAGGGGAATCCATGTCGCAGTGACGTTTCAGGTCCGTCTTCCAAGAAAAGCCAGCGTTTAACAGACCCAAGTCCAAATCTACACCCGATAAAAGGCAAAAAGGCAAAAAAAGGGTTCCAATTGACGTCCAACACAGACATAACAGCATCTTAATCTATATGTGCAGTCCAAATCCGAGGAGCGGAAAGCCCCCCATCCACAGCTTTTATCAACAGCGCTAAATGACAAAGCATCCGCCAAACCCACAGACAGAGACATTAAAACAGGAGCAACTTCATTGGAGTATTAGGGAACGGGCAAGCCCAGGAACCAAGACCAAAAGGATTCAAAAGAGATCGCACAGCAAAAATCGACTGTCAGACAGGTCGTGTCAAAGACCATGCCCGACGGTGCAGGACGCCGAGCGCCCGACATAAGAAAAACAGCCAGTTACGGCACAATTTGTAAAGTATAAGACACGAACCGAATGCAAAATGGAAAGTGAATAAAGAGTAACGAAGATATGCAAAGGTAAAATTTTGTTCACGCTTTACTGGGCAGGGACGCGGTCAGCGTGGCTGGCGTGGCCGGCACGACCGCGCTCTTCCTCGTCGTAGCCATTCTGCTCCGAGTCGATCTCCTCATCCGTGGGGGAGTGCATGCCGCTAGGGGGCTCCTGGAGGGATTGGCGGCTGCGAGCCATCTATTGAAAACTTGTTAGCGCAAATGTCATATCAATTGGTGCAATTGAGACTTACCCAGGCGCGCACACCCCCAACCAGACCAAGACTGTATCCGGTAGCGAAGTCATCGTTGCGGCGCGAGCCCATGGGGCTATCGGGCCGGGCGGGAATATCACCACCAACGCGAGACAGGTGGCTCTTGCTACCGCCAGTCGGGCTAGTAAGAGGACCGCGGTTGACACCCCAATCCATGGAGTTGCGGGCACTAGGCGCAGGGCTGTTGGGACGGGAGTTCTGCCAGATCTGACGCAGTTCACGGCCAAGCTCTTGACCAGTCATGGTCCAGTTGTTGCGGATGTTATCACGCAGCTCGACGACATGGCGCTTGATCTCAAGCTCGTTCTTCTTCAACCAGGAAACGTTGAGCTCCTGGCGGGAGGCACCGCGCTTGAATTGACGAGAGATGTATTGATCGTAGTCACGGACGACACTGGTAGAAATTAGTCTTGGCGTTCCGGTTTTGGATGTGGGGCCCTTTTACGACATACCGTGTGATGATACCAGTGGTGCTGACACCCTCTGTGCGCTGGGTGACCAGGAACTTGCCCTGCTCCTTGATAGGAGCGTAGATGTCGTCGCCCTCAGCGGCGCCGTAGGGCAGATCGTCGTGAGCGACATAGTCAATCTGGTGCTCCGAGAGGAACTCCGGGGTAACGATCCAGGGGCAGCAGGGGATGACCTCGTCAACCCACTTGCAGTGACGGATGGTCTCCGCGCGCTCAGCGCCGCTGAGGACCGTCAGACCCTTGCGCAGATGTGTCTCCTCATCGCCAGTGACACCGACGATGAGCCAAGTATCGGGGAAAGCCTTCTTGGCCTGCTCGAGCTGTCTCATGTGACTAAATAGCGCAATTGATCGTCAGCCACTATTACCGGATGCGATTGAGATGAAACAAGAAAGTTAATTTTCTTCATCCGTCGTGTGAGCACCTACCCAAGATGGAATAAATCGAAAACACCATCAGCGTAAACGCGCACTGAACGGCCCGTTGGCGGAGGGTTGGTGTGGTAGCCGACGGGATCCTGCAGACGGCCGACGACCGGCGGGGCCATCTGAACTTCGGGCTCCTTTTCAGGCAGGTCGATGTGCAGACCAGGTCTGGACCTCGCTGGGTCCTCGATATCGCTACTGGCAACGGTTGTCTCGGAGGGCTCGCCGGGGTCTTCTTTGGAGATGGGGGCGCCGTTGGTCTTCGACTGGGTGGCATCGAGGCTCTTGCGAACACGCTTGGAAGGGTGACTGGGGGCATCGCCATTGGGAGTGCCGGTTGAGTCGTCACCATCCTCGCCGGACGCGTCGCGCGAGGAGGGCTGGAGGTCAGCCGCCACGGACTTGTTGATGGCGGGAAGGTGAGAAGCGCTGCGCTTGCGCTTAGCGGCAGGAGAAGTGTTTGGCGACATGATGTGAAGATAGATGCCCGGGAGAATAAAAGAGGGATATCCGAGAGAAAGGAGTAGGGATTAGGGGAGAGATTTAATGCTGAACCCTGAATGACGGATACCCGGTTTTAGGGGACTGTAATTTTCTTGGGGAAAGGAGTGGGGGGGATGGTACAGCTCCTGTCAATTGGGGGCGGTTACGACAGTGGCTGGCAGTACGAGGAATCTTACGATACGAATTACGATACAGGGGAGTGCAAATCCGAGCTTGGCATTGCAAATTGCGCTCTTGGCACCGTCCCGGTTACACTCTGACCACGTGTGGATTCGTACCTGGTTTACTACTTCCGGACATGATGCTGAGTATTGAATACCACTGTATCTCCTGTGAAAGGGTTGAAAGGCTGAATTCGGGGTTTCCAGATGGTATGTGCCCTCAATGCTTTCTTTTCCATGCCGAAAATAGTACAAAGCCGTCTTTATGGGGGGATACTTCGTACTCCGTACTCGTACTGCGGTTCAAAGTTGCTTGATTTTCCTTGTATCAGATGTACGCCACATAAATGGCTATTGGCAGGGATTGGAAAGGCAAATCTACCCTGGCAGATACTTTCACAGTATTGACCAGATCAAACAAGGTTATGTGGGTATGAAAGGGTTGGATCGGGAATGAAAGAAAAGACAAACTCGTCAATAACGGGCATTTTTCTGCGGTATCTCGTGGGGTAATGGCATATAAGAAAAAGAAAAGAAGAAAAAAGAAAAAAGAAAAAAACAAGCTCATAGAGGCCTCTCTTGGCTTGCAGGGCATTTCTTTCAACCGTGCTATGGAACTTCCAACCCCGTTCTTTCATCTCTTTCATATCCGAGGGGCATGCGGTCTGTCTCACTCTTGACAAATATTCATTTCAAGTTGAGAAGGAAATAAGGAAATAAGAAGGGCATGGAACCAGAGCCCGAAAATAACTAAGCGCAAACAAAGAGGGGGGAAACAGGGCATAGATCGTAGAATCAAGGGTCGTGGATAAGACAAAACAAGGATGGGAACAACCAAACTGATGAGTTCATAAAAGAGAAGTTCAAAAAAGTCTACGATGTGGACTTCTCTTTCTCAGCGTCAGTGGAAGCTGGGGACTCGGATATTTGAGTAGTCCCGGTCTCCTGTTTCCCCTGCGGGCCCGGGGTAGCCTCGCGGTCCCGGGTGCCGGTCTCGTGCTGCACCTGGTTGGTCAGATCCTGGTCCTCTTCGGTCTGGTCAAAAAGCTCCTCTTCGTTCTGATCCGGGATCACTTCGGTGCCATCGCCCAGGAGGATGATCCGGCCGGAACGCACACTGTAGCCACGGGTACGGTCCACGTCCATGTCATATTCATCGGGGTTATCCTCGAATTGGTTCCGGATCCCAGGGCCGCGGAACTCGGCTGCACGAACTGGCCGTCAGCACGAAGTAGTGGGGATGCCTTCGGGTTCCTCGGGAGACTTGCCGTACTCGGGCGGAGCACAAGGTCCATCCCCGTTCGCAACCCGCTCTGCAATCTGGTTGTACCATTCCTCCTTGGTCTTGCCTTGGAGCAGGCCAATGACCGTCATGGTCATGTTGTCACAGCCGACACCACCAGTTTCGCTGTTAGAGGCCAGGCAGTTATCCATCATGTTCTCACAGATCCGGGCGAGGGGCTGCTTAGCGGCGATACCGCGGCGGACGAACTCCACGACAGCCTGGGAGGATTGGCAATCCCAGATACCTGTAAATTGGTCAGCGGTCGGGCTTGGTGGGGGAAGTAGGAGTCATGGCATACCATCACAGGCAATGACAAGGAACTCGTCATCGTCGGTAAGCTCGTGGACAGTCACATCGGGGTATGCGGTGACGATCTGCTGTTCGGGGGAAAGCTCGGGGCTCTTCTTAAATTCGAAGTCGCCGATAGCGCGGGACAGAGCGAGGTTGCCGTTAACACGACCAAAGTCAACGAAGCCACCGGCGGCGCTGATACGAGCCTTCTCGCCTATGGTAAGTTGTTTGTTAGATCCGTTGTATCGTATGTAATTGTCTGAAGTAAACGAGAACTTACCCTCGTTCTGAGGCTTATGGTCGAAGGAGAGGGGCTTTGCCCGTCCCTTCACACCGAGGACTGATCGTGAATCACCAGCGTTTGCCTTATCACTAGTCAGTACTCAATCAAAGATCTCCCCATTGAATAATCAACATACCACCCAGATCTTCTTCTGTGAAATAATGCTTGTGGAGGCAGTACAGCCCGAGACCTCCTCCTCATAACGGGGATCTGCACCTGGTCAGTCCCTCGCCCACAACAAAAAGCACACAACCACAAACCTTCCAAAATCGCCCTGTCGGTGGCAAGAAAACCATCCTTCATAGCCTGTTCGATATCGCCCTTGGCAAAAGCGTCTTGCCGGGAAACAATCTTGTGGAGGTTCTCGCCGGTGAATAATGCAACCTTGTCACCACCGTGGCCATCATAGACACCGAAAAAGGCCAGGCGATGTTCCGGATCGGTCGGTTTCGCATCGTCGGCACCGGTGTACTTTGCCTGGAGGTCAAGAACCGCAGCGTGGGCATCCTCCATGCTGATTCGCCAGCCCTGCATGGCCGACACACCGTACACGCAGCAGTCATCCCCGCCCTCGGACGATGTCTACCCATAAGAATGAACACGTTAGCCTGCATCGATCTATTTGAGCTGGCATTCAGGACAGCTGGCAACCTGCGATGCCAGTTTGGAGTCATATGGGTTCTGTTGACTCGGCTCCCCCACCATCGCCCCTCGAACCGAACGCATGGGCCCCCCGCATAGGAGACCGAGCAAGATTCCTCCGATCGCAGGTCCTGACGAGAGAAGCCAGCTAACAGGGATGCCCGATAACATCTTGAGAGATATCCCGGAGAGGGGAGGGTGGCAGACCGAGGGGGGAGTCACACCCACATGTACAATGGCAAATGTGGGGGGGCAAAGGAATTGACGAAAAAAAAGCCGAATGTTCAGCGACTCACCTTTTCGACCACCGGCTCCGACAGGGTTTGACCCATATTGACAAAGATTAAATAATTCGGGGGAGAGAGGGAGAAATTGTTGAGGGGAAGGGTGAGGAGGGCAGAGAGAAAGGGTCAGATGAGCAGGGCTTTCGCGTCTGGGTCCCGCGATAAGTGGGGAATCGAAGATGACGATAAGTTGCACTGGGATAGCCTCAATCGGGGGTCTTTGCTTTATAGATATAAGGCAGTAGGGAATGGAATAGGCAAATTTCAACAACTCTCAGGTTCTTCTCGTTCAAAAACGCAAGAGGCAGAGATTTTTTTACCGCTTTTGCTGTTGGTATAGAGTCACGTGAGAGGGGAGAGTTCGATTTCAGCTGCAACCTGAAAAGCTTTGCTTTTGCGAAATGTCGAAAAGGGCTAACTCGGCTTCAGGCTTAGGCTCAGACTCAGGCTGTCAGGCAGCTAAACCCGCAGTCGGCACCAGTCAGCACCTACACGCTCGCTCTTTAGAGATCCCGCCAAGACTACTGTAGCCTACTGTAGCCTACGGGATCCGCCGCTGACGAGGTCCTCAGTCCTGAAAGCCCCCCTAGATGCTCATTCTCAATCCGAATTACAATTCTACCAGGGTGTCCTGTATCGGGTCTCGATGCTACTCGAACTCCCACTACCTAGGAAGATCACATCACATCAACTAATCGGTGAGTTCCCGAAACCCGACCTCTCACCACTGCAGTGGAGGGACTAGGAAGCTTCCAAGGCGAATTCGCAACGGAAACCGGTTTCTGCAGCAAAATGCACATTATTATTCAGTTTCACTATAACTAAAAGCTTCTAACCAATCAACCATAAAAAGCCAATGGATATCATGTTCGCAATGCCCAACTCCGAACCAAGACAAAAAAAAAAAAAAAAAAAACACCCCAAACAAGAAGCAAGAAAAAAAAAAAAAGAACACAACCGAAAAAAGACCGCGGCAGAAAAACACAACAAAAGGCAAGAGTGGGCT